GGCTCCAGGTCCAGCTCCTCGGGCTCGGGCGGCTTGTTCTCCTCGCTGTAGTAGAAGGAGACCTCCCGGAAGCCGGGCTCCATCTCGTCCTTGATGCTGCTGATGATCTCCAGGAAGGAAGGCCTCATCTTGGGGTTGTACTGCCAGCACATGCGCATCAGTTCAAACCTGAGGTGAAGACAGACAGGAGATGCGCCCCGCCGCCAACGGTGGCCGTGGCCGTGGCCGCGCAGCCTCCCGGGCCACTTGCTGTGGTCTCCCCATGGCACGTGGGCACGGGAGCGCTGCAGGCGGCACTGCCCCCTGAGCCTCTGTCTTTCTCTCTCGGGGGCCCGAGGGGCCTTCAGCTTCTCCCATCTCACGTCCCACCATTGCTTTCGCTTTACCCAGGGCCCAGGACGCTCCGGGGGACAAGACCTAAGTGCTCCTCTCCCGGGGAGGACAACTCCAGGTTCACACAACCGTCTGTCGTCATAGGTATTATGGTGACAATGCTAAGGTATAAAAGCAGGGGTGCTTGGGGGCACCTGGGTGGCTCAGTTGGTTAAGCGGCTGCCTTCGGCTCAGGTCATGATCCCAGGGTCCTAGGATCGAGCCCCGCATCGGGCTCCCAGCTCTGCGGGAAGCCTGTTTCTCCCTCTCCCACTCCCCTCCTTGTGCTCCCTCTCTCGCGGTCTCTCTCTCTCTGTCAATTAAATAAATAAAATCTTAAAAAAAAAAAAAACAGGGGTGCTTGGGTGGCACCGTCGGTGGGGCATCCGACTCTCGGCTTCAGCTCAGGCTGTGATCTCAGGGTCGTGGGATTGAGCCCCGCATCGGGCTCTGCGCTCAGCAGGCAGTCTGCTTGAGATTATCTCTCTCCCTCTCCCTCTGGCCCTCCCCCCACTCTCTCTCTAAAACAAATCTTTAAAAAAGAGATAAAAACATAGCATTCTATTTAAAGCGTCTCTTGTAACCACTGATGGAACCTTATTTCTGGAATTAGAGTGCAGGAAACCTCTGGTGTTTCTGTAGTAAGGGTTAGGGCGGATCGCAGCTCTCCCGATGGTGAGCGCTCTTTTAATCCCGCCTCTGCTGTTTCTGAGGCTCCCCCAGTGGCTGCGGCCAGGCCGGCGGGGCCTGCAGAACAGACGGCAGGAGCGCGCCTTCCAAGTCATCCGGGGCCCCGGCCAGCGCCGCCGGCCAGCCTGCCCGCCGCGCGCGCCGCGACACACAGCCCGGCCTCCGATCCAGGCTGCCCCTCCGAACTGAGTGACAGTCCTAGTGACGACCGGCAGCCAGAGCCCACCAAGGCGGCAGGGGCCGGCAGGGCAGGCAGCGAACACAGCGTGACACCCGTGCTGGGTCTCACCAACTGCACTGCAGTGGCACTTGGGCCCCAAACCTCTGCGAAGCCCTCAGAGCCAAGTGGACCACTGGGAGTCTTCCTGGCAACGGGAAGGGGCCCCCCCGAGAGCCGGAAGGAGACAGGAGGAATGGGGTGGTGTGGCCAGCTGACCTGGGGGGCGGTGGCTGGGCTTTGACAAGAGTTCGGGGAGGCCGGGGGAGGAGGGGATGCTTCTGATTAACCCACAATGCAGACAGACCCAGCTTCGTAGACCTTGGGAGTGCAAAGGAGGGTGACCGAGCAAACATCCAGGCTGGCCCCAGAGCCAGAGGCGGCCACAGTTCCGAGAAGGGGCTGGCCAGTGGCCCTTCTAGCTGAAGAGATGCTTTTCAATAAAAATGGCTACATGGAACTCCCCATATTTAGGAAGCACAGAGCACCCCAAACTGGCTTCTAGCCTTCGGGCTGACCACTAGACTGACAGATAATTTGCTTCTGTCTGGGCCCTGGGAAGAAGCCAGGGGACAGGCCGGTGGGACACAGAAACCAGCCTACAGACAGAAAGCTCCTAAGCTAACAGGGCCAGCTACCTTCAAAGACCTGGGGGAAAAGGTGTCAGGTCGTCGGAGGGAAGACGACATGACCTTGAGGGAGGGTGGGCACAGGAGCAGGCTTTCGGCCTGTGTTGCTGTTTTTGTAAATCGTGTTTTACTGGAACAGCCACGCCCATGTGTTCATAGGTCTGTGGCTGCTCTCAAGGGGGGCCAACTTCTAGTTGAGTAGTTGGAACAGAGACTGGCCTAGGAGCCCAAAATATTCGCTGTGTGGCCCTATATCGAACACGTCTGCTACCTGTGCTCTGGCAGCAAAAGATCTGGACGAAATGTGAAGACCGACTGGATGCTCCCCTCCCAACGCAGCCCCGTGCCCTTTGGCCCAGGCGCTAGCCGCCAGCCAGGACTGGCCTCTGCCCCACGCGCTCCGAAACACACACGGGGCGGCGCACGGGGTTTTACACGTGCGGACCGCTTTCATCCTCACAAGTCCGGGGGGCCGGCGCCCGAGACTATATGCCCACTGCGTAGGTGAAGAAGCGGAAGCCCCAAGAGATGGCACCGTTTGTCGCAACAGTGAGGGCGGAGTGGGATGGAGCGCTCGGTCAAAGAGCAGGGCTGGGCTCTGACCACCACCCACCTCAGGGAAAGGGGCATTTTCTCAGCCTCAGCAAGAACCACCGTGGCTCCCCCCCACCCCAGGGACCGGTTCCTCTCCTCCAGTCACAAGTGTTGTTGGGGATTTGCACTGATAAACAGGCAGCTCCTGCCTCGGGTCAGACGGCAAACAAGCCTGCCTTCCCTGACCTCCCATTACTGCCCAGGGAGAAGGACTCCCCCCCGCCCCCCAAACAGTACACGAGGCCCCTCTCTATGGCTCTGCTGCACTCTCCTCTCTGGCTGACCAACCTGTCCCTGACTAGAAGCGCAGCTGGGGGCCAGGGCCAGGAGCACGTGATGGGGTGATGGGCCCTGGCTCAGGGCTGCTGCGGCCGGGGGCGGGGGTGCTGAGGAGGTGCCACCAGCCAGCAGGGGAACGACCCGGGGTGACAACAGCACAAAGGACCATGTGAGGCCCAAGTCACAGCCCTTCCAGGGCTGCCCATAAAAGGAAGTCTTTTTCACTCTGTAGGATTCAAGACCTTGTTTACACTATCTCCACAAGAAAACTTTCCAGTAGACTCTCGAAGGATTTATGGGCTGATAAAGCTCTTCTTTAAAAAAGCCCGATGTTTTACAACTAGTTGGCTCTGGTGAGGCCGAGCTGTCCTCTCCTGAATGCCCCCTTGTGGGGGCCGGGGGGGGGTGCGCAGCCCCTTCACCCCCGGGGGTGGGGGAAGAAATGGACCGGAGCTGCTTGCTGCCCTGCCCTGCGGTGAGGCCGCTTAAGGGAGACACGTGGGACCCCGGAGGGCAGCGTGAGGGAAGAGGGACAACTGGCCTGCCCCCTCCCATCCTGCACACAGAGGGGCCTCCAGATTGCCACCCTACTCTTGGCCCTGCTGGGCATGCACGCAGGTTGTGAGCACAAGCCAAGACGTGAGAGGCAGCCCAGTCCACGCGGCCACCTTGCAACAAAGACTAGATTCCAGAAAGGCCCGGAAGGGCTGGGTGTGCCCCTCCTCCACCTCCTCCTGGCAGCCTGGGGACAGCCAGGATTGTCCCTTGAGCCTCCTCTCAGCTTGGGCCGGCAGGGGGACAGCAGGCCTGCCTGACCCCTCACCCCACTCCACTCTGTCTTTGGGCTGAGAGCAAATGCAGGGCCCAGGTACCGTGGGACAGCCCATGGTCGCAGCACGGCTAACCACGCGAGGACAGCCATTCCTGACTGTTTGGATTCTACTCCAGCACCCGATTCCCACAAAACCAGCACAGGATCACCAGCGAGGAGGGAGTTTAATCAGCAAGAGGAAAAAGTGCATTTGAAAACTGCAAAACCCACCAGAGTCTACTGAATCTGTTCCAGACTCATCTATGAGTTGGTGACTCTCTGGGCCAAAAACTTCAAATTCTGTCCTGAGTGCTGTGTACTGAGGACCGGCCCCGGCAAGGGTCTGGACGTGTGACACTGGAAGTTTTACGGAAGACCATTTGGCTTCTTGGCCCAGGGCTTAGACTCCGGCACACCTCTGCTCTATCTGTCCTGCAGCAGTAGAATCCAGCCCTGCTACCCGACTTCTGAGAGCTAGGACCGTGCCTTAGAGTCGTCTCTGGGGTGTCAGCAGTCAGCATGTAGCCAGAGGGGCTCAAGGATATTCGTGGGGTAAGTACAGAGATGTGAGATGGGCTTTGTCATCCATTTAAAATGCGGAACCACCAGCAAACCACAAGTCAAATCTGATCTCGTGCCACTTGTTAAATTAATTCAAACCGAGTCTCGGTGTTAGACTCGCAAGCCTAGACTCTCTGTGGCTTGGACCATGGAGCCTTTCCTCTAAAGCCTAAGCGCACGGCACCGTTGAGGGGATGGGGACTACTGGCCACTCCAGTGGAGCCTACTTCAACTGCTCGTGGGCATCGCCAAGATGCTGATGCAGAGCTGAGGGCCCCCAGCAGCCACTGCACACCCCGCCCCCCACGTTACCCTGCTGGGATCCGCTCAGACCTCTGGAGCCACACAACTGAAGTGGTCTCTCTCCCACTTGGAGGCCCAGCAGGGCTTTGGGGCAACTCCCAAGAGCTCGGCGACTCTCCTCTCCTCTCCTCTGGGACAAACAGGAGTCCATTCTTTCAGTGCCTACGTAACAAAAGAACTCCTCTCCCAGAACACTCCTTTACCTAAGCTCATCAGTAAGTTCAGGACAACACAGACACTCCCCATACAACCAACTCACCTCCTTTCATTTTGTTATTTTCTTAGAAGGGAGAACAGTTTGCCACAGGGGTTCTGGATGGCGAAGCAGAAATGCCTCGTGAATTAAACATTTAATATCCAATGGTAACCTCTCCATGTGAATTTCCTGGTCACTCTGTGCTGGGAACAGGAAGTTTACCGCTTTTCCCATGGCAGGTGGGCTGCTTCCCAGGCATATTAAATTAATATCAAAACTCCAGTCACCAGGAGGTAGGTCAACTTCAGGAGTCCCACAAGTTTCTCAGCGGCCAACACTTATCTGAGTCAAAGAGAAAGCTCAAAAAACAATACCTCTCCTCCCACCACCCACAAACCACGTGAACGAAACACACACCTGGTTTCTCGGACTGTCTCTAAGCTTGCCACAACACCCCAGGTTCTAGCCACCGCCTCTGTTCTGCACCAGACACTTGGATGCAAATTCAGTGGGCATCACTCCTCATACTCCAATACTTAGATTTCTGCTCTGAAGGAAGATTTTTCTCTTAATGGGCTGACAAGAATAGAGTGACCACACTATTCAGACAGAACAGTACCTGTGAGGGAAACTGGGAGTCAGTGGGCTGTGGTAGCCAGCCCCCAGGGACCCCCACCTCCTGGTATGCATGCCCCCTGTAATCGACCATGTCACAGAGGGCTACCCCCTGAGGTTAGGCCATAAAGGCCACTGTGGCTTCTGCTCTGCCCTGGAATCACTTGCTCTTGGGCAGGGTGGGCAAGCTACAGGCGCCCATGGCCCAAATCTACCCTACGGGCCGATTTTGTAAGCCCTAGGAGCTAAGAATGGTTTCTATATTTAAAAGTGGTCGAAAAAAAATCAAAATAAGAATAGTATTTTGTGACTTGAAAATTATGGGAAATTCAAACTTCAGTATCCCCAAATCAAGTTGTGTGGGGGCACAGCCATGGCTCAATCACATGGTATCTGTGACTGCTTTGGTGCTATGACAGAGGTGAGTGGCTGTCATTGGGACCACATGGGCCCCTGGAGCTGAAAATATTTCCTCTCTGCCCTTCTAGAGGAAGCGTCTGCTGAGCCCTGCTTGAGGAGAAGCCCACTGCCTGGCACTTGGCCGCACGGGTATGCCACCCTGGAAGTGGGTCCCAGCCCCAGTCAGGCCTTCTGCTGACTGTAGCCCTGGCTGAGAGACTCGGAGCCCGAGCCGTTCAGCCAAGCCGCTCCCGGCTTCCCAGCCTTCGGAAACTCCATGGGATGGCAAATGCTTATTGTTGTTTTAAACTATTAGGTTTGGGATAATGTTGTACTGCAGTAAAAAACTGGGACAGGTCGGGAGAGGGAGTGTTTCCACGGTAGGCAAGAAAATGCACTAAGTGACCTTTTTTTTTTCCCTTTTAAACTAAGTGCCTTTTGAGTCTCTTCTAACTTTGGGTCTTGAAGTCTGAAAAGGCTAATTGGGAAGGTTCTCGAGGGACCTGGGAAACCCCGTTGCCTCCCACCCTGTCTCAGCCACCCCCACCCCCCGCCATATGCACTGCCCTCGGAGAAGTAGAGTCTCCTGTCACTGGTGGGCCTACTCTGCACCCCATGTCTAGGACCATGCAAATTTCCTACTCTAGGCCCATACTCAGATGATCAGTGGGTTCCCTTGCCCCCAACACACACACACACACACACACACACTCACACCGATGCAAGGATGCTGCTTTCCCTATGGCAATCGTGGGTCCTCTTTCTTAATTCCGTGCAAACTGTCTGTGGGATAGAACAGGCTTCAGCTGAACAAACATTCAGAAGCAGCAGTTACAGGGCATAGGGCCCAGCTAATGTACTCTGCAGCACAGGGGTGCTACACCGAGTCTCCCCCAGCCCGTGGGCCCTACAGCTGCGCAGTCAGGGCCATGGGAACAAGGCCTCCCACGTCTACATGGAGCTGGGGAGGTTCAGGCTCGGTAGCAACCAAGTCCTTCAGAAAAAACACAAAACCGTGGTTTGTTGACAGACAGGTCTGGTGGCAGCCAGACCCTAAGATGCTCCCCAAGATTCCTGCCCCGGGTGTAAATGCGTCGTGTAACCCCTCACCTGAATTGGGTTGGACTAAGGAAGATGACGGGATTTCACTCAGTTATTTTAGTTTTCTCATCCATGGACTCTGAGTTAACCAAAAGGGAGATTATCTGGGGGTAGATGTGGTTTAATCAGGTAAAACAAATGGTAAAAGCAACAGAGAGATGCTCTTGCTGGCTCTGAAGAAGGAAGCTGCTCCAGTGGGAGAAGACCCACTCTCTGGAAGTACCCCAGTCCTGCAGCCTCAGGGCTGAGGTCCTGCGGACAACCTGAAGGGCATGGAAGAGGGAGGCCCAGAGCCTCAGATGATGGCGGCCCCAGCCTACATCTGATTTCAGTCTGGTGAGACTGAGCAGAGGGGCCAGCACACCTGTGTCTGGATTCCTGACCCAAGGAAACCGGTGAGAGATTCAAATGAGTGAAGCTTTCATGACTGTTGAGGCCAGTTTTCCTGGTATCCAGCTGACATGGTATCCGACTCATATTTGCAAACCATCCCGCCACTCTGAGGCCCCAGCCTGAGGCAGTGCTCCCTTGAGGCAGATCTAGGGGTCTTCCACATAGACACGGAGACAACCAACCATTCCTCTGGGATCCAAACATGTCCTGAAAAGCACTTCTGGAAAATTCCAGAATTGGTCCTGAGGTACTCCCTTCTACCCATTGGGATCCAGAAGAATCTCTGAGCCCCACCTTAACGTGCCTGTGGAAAGCAAGTGTACCGCCGCCTACCTCTGCCCGTCCCTGCCCTGCCCCCGACGACCCAGCCACAGAACACCTTCGCACCCTCCTCTGACTCGTTCCTCCTGTGCACGGACAACGCGGCCCTTTTGCCTTCCGCAGCTCTGACCTCCGCCAACAGAGGGGTCCTAAGAACGCCGAGCAGTGAGGCCCAGGACGCATCATGGACGCTCTGCCCTTATCGGACAAATCTCAGGAACACGACGCTGAATGTTTTTTGTTAAAAAGAAGTGCCAGTGCCAAACCGCCAGCGCCCAAAGCTGGGCGTGCCCAGGGCTGTGTCTGCAGGGAGGTCAGCTGAACCTCGAGCCAGGTGCCCCATGGGTCACTGCATGAAGCTCCAGAGAGCATGTGGTTTTCATGGCTTAGGACTTTCATCAGCACTTAGCGGGGAAGAAACCCGAGAGAGCCCCTGTGGCGGCGGCGTGCGCGGGCCACCATCGCGCTCAGTGCCAGCCATTACATCGGAACCAGAAGCATAAGGGAGATGGGGTGAAACTGGGGCAGCTCCATGAAGGCACGGGTTCCTGCCATCAGGATGACCCTCTTCTAAACGGCCTCCCGGCCATCACGGCACCTGCAGGGCCTGAGAGACTGGCTCTCAGAACCCCTCACCACCCCCGCCCCCGGGGGTCACTGATCAGGGAACTGGGAGGGGGAGCGGCGGGGGCCCAGGAGGTACGTACAGCATGTCAGGGCAGTTGTCCGGCTTGTCCAGAAGGCCGCCCTCCATAACGAAGCGAAGGACCTGCTCGTTGGACAAGCCCTGGTAGGGCTGCTCGGCCAGCGTGGCGATCTCCCAGAGCACGACGCCGAAGGACCTACGGGACACAGGGAGCAACGTGAGGGCTCAGAAAGCCGAGGGCAGACTGCGCGGCCCTTGCCTGCCCAGCAACCCCCGGCCCCGGGTGCCAAACGACTGTCCGCTGAGCGGCAGCTGAGCGCCTCCTGCAGCATGCCCGGCACCGTCTTCTGCGGTTGCTGCTCATGTTCCCCCGCACAGGAGACGCAGCCCCCAGGCACGGTGGAGGAAGCCGGGGTGGAGGGGGTTTGCCGGGTCCCCTGAAGGGCTAGGAAGCACCTGCACGCTCACGTGAAGGCCAGACAAGCTGAGTTGAGGGCCCCAGCCAGGCCGCCGGCAGGGCAGTGTCTCCCAAACGTGCTCTATCCTGTCATCAAAGGCAGATCCCCAAGCCCTGCCGGGACCCTGGTGTAGTGGGCTCGCATGCAGCCTGCCACAGCCAAGCCCGTCACACACTCCCCCACTGTGGAAACTTGTGCGCAAGGAGCTCTCAGTGCTGCCTGCGGAGTAGCGTCTCCTGGTGAGTTTTTAAAACACACCGATGCCTGGGGTCCTGGATCACAGTTCTCATTTCATTGGTGTGCAGTGTTGGAAAGCTCACCGGGGTCCGGTGGGGCCGGTGGGGAAAGAAGCCCCACAGGGGCTGGGGTTGCGGCTGGCCTGTGGAAGGCTCAGTCTCAGGACGGGGGGCGGTGGGGGGAAGCGAGGAGGGCAGTACTGGCTGGTTATGGGGCTCACGGGCCGCCAGGCATCCTTAAGCAGAGTTTAGCCCAGGGGCAAAAGGGGCTGAGGAGTCAGTTCAGCAAGGGGAGCAGTGAGCAATTCTGCCAAGTATGCAGTTTTGCCTGTTGGTTTAGAAGATCCAACTACTGGAAAACAAATGAAAATACATATACACGCACACAGAAAGTTCAGGTGGGTAATGTTGAAAAAAGCGATGCTGTAATCTGCAAAATAAAGGTGACTTCCCAACACACGCTGCCATCTTGCACACATTTTCCTCGGCCTATTTGCCTTTACATTCGGTTCATTTCAGCAGAATAAAGCAGGCTCGTCAGCAGCCAACGGCCCAAGGGGCTTCCGACGGAACCCGGCAAGGCCAGGGGCGCGGGCAGAGCCACACCGAACATTCTGGGGCCCGGCACTTCCCACGGAGAGCTCTCGGGCCAGGAGTGCCTCCGACTCTGTACCAGAATGTTTTATTCACTGCCTCAGCTATAGCTCCTTTGCCATGAACAAAAGGTTTCTGTGCAAATTGGTACTAAGAGCAGATGTGAGACACAAATATAGAATCTTAGCGGAGGACTGACCCAGCCAAGATCCTTTTTAATTTCCAGTGACCAAGAAACAGTCTTCAGTATTGCACAAGAGATCCAGAAAAGCCAAAGACCCAGAGGCCTCGGTGCGGCGTTTGGAGGCTGGGGCCCAGGGCAGCTAGCTTCTCTATCAGCTTCGGCGGCGGGGGGGTGGGGGGAGACACACACGTCCCGCAGGGCTACGGCTCCCCACCGTCCCGTCAGCTAGGCAGGACAGCCCAGGAAACGACAAGCTTGCTGTTTTTACTGGCTGCGGGCCTCGCCTGAGGGGTCACCTGAGAGCACGGTTCCCTCGCGGAGCCACACACCTTGCACAGGCTGCGGCAGCCCAGCCTTGCTCACCAGCGCCTGCAGTGACCCTTTCTGCCGCAGGTGCTCGGCCTTAAGCTCCCGGTCCCTTGGCTACCCAGGAACTTCCCGTGTCGCGACCTCAAGCCTGTCCCGCAGCCCTGCTCTTCTGGTCCCACTTGAGCAGTCCACCCCAGGTCCTCCATCCCTCGGCCTCGTCGGGGCCCAGCACCGTGCCCATGATCCCCCTCACTGGGCCAACAGTACCCCTCGTTTGGGCGCTGGCACCTGACTCCACTGCCTTGCTTTCCAGCTAACATGAACATCTTATTTTATTTTATTTTTTAAGATTTTTATTTATTTATTCGACAGAGAGACACAGCGCAAGAGAGAGCACAAGCAGGGGCAGAGGGAGAGGGAGAAGCAGGCTTCCCGCCGAGTGGGGAGCCCGACGCGGGGCTCGATCCCAAGACCCTGGGATCACGACCTGAGCCGAAAGCAGAAAGCAGTGTACCGACTGAGCCAACCAGGCACCCCAAACGTGAACATTTTAAAACACAGTGCCAGGTCACGCTCCTGTGACACACTTCCTTCAGAAGCTTTACACGTCTTCGTAGAACCTGAAGGATCAGGCCCAAGGCCCTAACACAACGTTGGTCTGAGGCCTTACTTGGTCTCTCTCTACCCTAATTCCCTCAAGGGAGTCCCGCCGGCCTCCACAGGCCGCGAGCCCAGTCCTGCCACCAGGGCTTCCCCCCACCCCCCACAACATTCCCACTGCCTGGAACCTGCACCCTCATGTCCCCATCGGTGACAATTCATACTTTAGGGTGCCCTACGACCCCATCTCTTCTGGCTAGGCTTCCGTGACTCTAGCCTGTCAGGATCGCTTCCTCTTCCCCGTAAGACTTCACCCCTCAAGGACAGCGAGTGTGTCTCCAGTCACCCTGTTCTTGCACACGCCGAGCATGTCCTGAGCCTCCCCAGGTCCTCGTGATCACACCCGTGAAATAACACAGCAGGTAAGATGCCCGGCTCTCCCCCAGATGCCTTCCCTGGAGTAACTCTCGTGTGACGTCCTTGTCGCTTGTCAGCGGGGGCCACCTAATGCTGGAGTCCGGTCATCCTTCACAGGATGTGACCAGCTGTATGGAGTCTAATGGACGGAGGCCGAACCATCTCTACCCAACACCAAGATGGCCCCCGGGCATCACCACTTGTCACAGGGGCCGTTTAAACACTGATCAAGCTCCTGCAGACCCCATAGGGCATGTAGACATTCCTAAACACACCTCACCCCTCACCTCACAGATGGAGCAACCAAAGCCCAGAGACGTCCCATGGTTTGACCAAGGCCACACAGCCAATCAGAAATAGGCAAAACCCATGTGTTTTTCAAAGCAGGTAATTTGCCATGTGGCACTGGTATTAATGCCATCATATAAAACCAAGTCATGAATTTTGTGGACACATTTCTTCCTGAAACACTGGACAAATGCCTTTGTGTGACACCTTTCCTCATTATGAGCACTGTTCTCCCCCAGAGAAGGGACAACTTGCTGTGAATCTCACAGGTCAGTGCCAGTGCTGTCTAGGGTCAGCATTAAGCAACTACGCCTCAGCACACCAAGACGGGATCGGGTCAGTGTCCCACCCGCCAGCAACTCAAGACCTACAGAGAGATCCACGTTCCCTGCTCTCATTCATTAGCCACGAAAGAAGCAAATGATTGTAAGTGCGTGCAACCAGCCCTCGATATTTGTGGCAGTTTGGAAACCTTAGTGAGTCAAGACATGAAGACTACTGTAGGCTGATTCCAGATGCCCAGGAAGGGAACACACTCGTGTCTTCCAACCCAAAGGCTGGGATACAGCGCTACAGAGGAGCTGTAGAAGGAGCCAACACAGTGTCCAAGAGCCTGGAAACAAAATCCCAAAGGGCCACAGAAAAATATGGAAATGTCCAAACTAGAGAAAAGAGACCACTTCCTTGTGACTCCAAGGCCCATCTTATCAAAACCAGAGCAGGTTGTGCACTGTGCCACAGAGAAGGGTCAGCAGGTATCACCGAGAGACGGATGTAGGCATAATAGGAGCAAGATCTGCAAAGAACAAGGATGTCTTAAGAAGTAGGGTGGTCTGTTTTTGTGAGGGAGGGAGTAAGCAGTCCCTAGAGACATGAGCAGAAGCTCAACAACTAGCTGTCAAAGGTGCCATGGATGGGACCTGGGGGCTGGACGTGACCACAGGGATACGGCCCAAAACTGAGATTCTGGGTCTCCTTTACAAAGTCAAATAAAATTCTTTGTCTCTCTTTCTAGATTTTCAACTGTTTAGGAATGACTATGCTATGGAACACATTCTAAAATGATTGGGGCACCTGGGTGGCTCAGTCAGCTAAGTGTCTGCCTCTGGCTCAGGTCATGATCCCGGGGTCCTGGGATCGAGCCTCCCGTGGGGCTCCCTGCTCAGCGGGGAGTCTGCTTCTCCCTCTCCCTCTGCTGCTCCCCCTGCTTGTGCTCACTCACTCTGTCAAATAAATAAAATCTTTAAAAAAAAAAAAAGAAGAAAAGCCTTTAAAAAAATGATTTCCATTCTTTCGACAGGGAAAGCTTTAAATTCTAGGCAGCTGAGAAACCGTCCATATTCACCAATGTCCCGGCTGGCCTACCCTACCTACCTGAGTTACCCTCAAAGGCTGTGTTAAAAAAACAAAAATCTAAAGTACTCAATGCCTGGACACTGAATGGAATGAATACCAAATACTCACTCTTGTTTATATAAATATATTATTGGTTCATAACATCCATGCCATCAAGTGGGAAAACACTGGCATTATATGTCCCTTCGTTGCTGCTTGTCGCAATCGTTGCTAACCAGACTTTGGGCAAAATTAGCCCGGAGACATTAATAACTCTAGTTTTATCTTTCTATTCTGCCCCTTGTTTTCCCTGACTCTCACAGCTTTTTCTATTTTATCACACTGTAAGCTGACCTCGGAGCTTTTGGAGGTATGGAGGCTAGAATAATCAGACACATGAACAGACCCAGGCCTGTCCTCCCCCCATCATCTCTACATCTAAAAATGACGGTGAGCACTTTGACTTGACAGCAAAGAGATAAGTATCTTGGACAGGCTGATTGCAAAACAGGTCTCCTACGTGAACTCGAGAGGCAATCGCGCTTTGCCGGGTCATATTCAAATGCTATTTCCAATTTGCACCTGTCTTCAAAGTAAGATCCAAGGCCCTCGAACTGTGAAAGGTTCACGAGGTTATAAAAAAAAGACGATGTCGGTCACTATTTAAATAGCTCCTCTATGTGGTCACCCAGGCATTTGGAGTAAACAACTACCATTTCTGTCACACATCAGCAATGGGACCTCCTGAGAGGACAGCCAAGAAACTAGCTGACGCGCTAGAAGGTAGATGTGCCAGGACCTCGGCCTGCCAAGGACCTCAGTTGTATTTTAGAGCCTGACCTCCTCTCTACAATGTTGCTGATGAATCACAACGAACAGTAGTACTGAGAGTCCTCTGCACTCCTCAGCTGGTAAGCTTTCGACACCAAGATACATTTATTATTAAGGGAGACATTTTGCTTTCCATACCATCCCTGGGTCAACGATGATGGTGCCCACGGAAAAAGGACAGACAGCAGATGGGAAGGAGAAAACACATCCGGACTTGTGAGCTTTGGGTCTAAATAAAGTAACGTCTGCAATCTGAAGTTTTAATTAGGTAAGGCAGCCGCGCACACACACAGTGGCTGTTGGGAAAGAGAACGAGAGCAGGCAGGCAGGGGAGAGGTGAAATTCTCGGACTCCTGGTGCCCTGTCTCCAGGGCTCCTGGCCGCTTGGTGAGCAGCTAAGAATCGGAAGAAATGTTGGTCCTATAAATTCTTTAGATCCCACAAATGCCCTCAGCTAGCCTGCCCACAATAGGAACCCTTAGACAACACAGCAGTGTGGCCCACATAACACTTATTAGCCGAAGCTCAAAATGGGGTAAGAGTGAACAGAAAACAGGAGAAAAATAAAGCCCTTGAGACTGAGCCAATGGGATCTGTGGAGGCTGGAGGGCTCCGGGCTTGTGGTATAGGAAAAGTCTCTCATACCAGACGTCGGAGTGAGTAGTGAAGACTCCATCCTTGAGAGACTCGGGGGACATCCAGCGCACAGGCAGCAACCCCTTTCCTCCTTTCCGGTAATAGTCTGTCTCGTAGATGTCTCTCGTCATACCAAAATCTGTAAGGTGGAGAGAAGGCGCCAGAGTGACATACTCTGAGCAGCTCTCAGGGCAGAAGCAAAGATGCCCCGTCCCTGCTGCAAGGGAGGGCCCTACACCCACATCCAAGGGGGAGCCGCACTTTAAGGAGGCTGGACCTCAGTGTTTGCAGTTGTATAAGGCAGAACCAGTAAGGCATAACTGATTAATCACATGACAAAGAAATACCAAGAAATCTTGGCTTTCAAATGTTTATAATTTGACTCTTTAAAAAAGCTAATTCCAGAGGATCCTGGGTGGCTTAGCCGGTTAAGCGTCCGACTCTTGATTTCGGCTCAGGTCATGATCTCATGGTTGTGAGATCGAGCCCCGAGTTGGGCTCCGCACTCAGCAGGGAGTGTGCTTGAGATTCTCTCTCTCCCTCTCCCTTTGCCCCTCCCCCTGCTCTCTAATAAATAATCTTTTAAAAAAAGTTAATTCCAAATAAATAGTTAATTTCTTTATTCATTTAAAATGAGAAGCAGTTACACATTATCAAGTCTTACAGTTGATCAAGAAAATACGTACTGTGTAAGACCAAAGGTGACTTATATATGGTTTTAAAACCTGGCGAAATAAACAAGGGCATGTTGACTCTTATTTACTCGGTAGCACTGCCCCACTGCCAGAGGAAATAAAATAGTTTTGCTGCTTAATATGGGGGAAAATATTGAAAGGACAAATTCACAGGGAAAAAAAGTACCCAGTAAGATGCCTAGGAGATGCTATTTACTAGGCCCCTGGCGCTATTACTCAATAATGTTTTTCAACATAATACTCCCACTCATTTTTGAAAATTTCTTCCATTTTCCATGTCTCTAGAAGATGTCACATAATTACACTTGATGGCAGGCTTGCTTTATAATCCTAAATTATTGCTTCTTTGTCAGATTTTGATTTTCCACTCAATCATACAACCTTTTCTTACAGGGACTCTTCCGTTCACCTTCCCAGGAGAAAGGGCTGCTCTCCCCTCTAAAATGTTCATTCATGTCTCTAACTGTGCCACAAAATGGTGAGGCTACAAAGCAAACATAGGGAATAAAGTTCCTCGGACATTAACCAACACAATTTACTTGTACTGAGCTGAGGGCCATCGAACTGCCTCTGGTAAAATTACCTGTCATGTCTGTAATCCATGAGACACTGGGCATAGGAAAAACAGGGTTTTTGAACCCTAGTGAAGAATAAAAATGAAATGTTGAAGTCTTATCTCAGAATTAATCCAGGGACATGCAAATGAGAAGACTTGCCTTTACTTGCACAAAAAGGACAAAAAAAAAAAGGAAATCCCAGAAAAAGAACACAAGCTATTTCTTAACACAAAAGAAAAATTTCAAATTTTAGTGAGAAAAACCACAAGTACAAAGAAAATGGCACGATAAATGTGCCGCCTGGTTAAATGGCAAATATGGTCCTTGCTGACTTGGACTTCAAATGGCAAGTGGCACAATAGCTCTCCCACTGTGATGTGAAACCAGGAAGAGAGTAGCCTGACCCAAGCTCCTGCATGTGCCAGGGAGAGGGTAGGAAGCACGATGCCAACAGCTGGAGGAACCAAACATCTACTGAGGACCTGCCCCATGCCAGCCATGCGCTTAGAGCTTCCCTGCACCCACTTCTTCCCACCATCTCATGGGTCTGCTGTATCAGCATGCCCATTTCAGAGGGACAGAAACTGAGGCTCACAGAACTTAAGGCACTTGGCCCGAGTCTTATCTGTTATTGGCAGAACCAGGATTTAAGCTCAGGCCTTCCGGGTTCCCTAGTGCTGGGGAAGGGGAGCTGGTTAGCATCTCTGTGGGAACAATCTGAGTCCCCATGAAAAAGGGAGGGGAATGGAAAGGGAAGGGGGAAGTGAGCAGGAAGCACAAAGAAAGCCCAGACAGCAGCCAGGGAGGCTCTTGCTTGGAAACCCTGGAGCATGACAGCCTCTTGAGCTTCAAGGGGCACCAGATGTGTGGATGCTTCAAAGGGCCAAATCCAGGGACACACTTGTGGCTCCTAAGTAATTCTGATGACTAAGGGATGTTTACTTTATGATGTGGTTCCATTCATCACCTCTGTCTCCTACAAATGAAAAATCACCCCTCATTTGATAACTATTCTAGAGAGGATACTCATTGTTCACAACTAAAGGGCCAAAATAGTTCATTCAAAATCACTGCTAAAGAAAAAAATTATTGCTAAGGAAAGGTGAGCATTTCCAGAATAGACAGCTCAAGAGCTAGACAAAAAGGTTAGTTTTATTTTACTTTATTATTATTTTTTCTGTACTTTGAATATATCATGCCATTCCCTTCAGGCCTGCAAGGTTTCTGTTGAAAAATCAGCTTATAGTTTTACGGGTTTCCCTTGTATGTAACTGTTTTCTTTTTTTTCTTGCTGCTTTTAAAATTCTCTTTATCACTACTTTTAGCCATTTTAATATTATGTATCTTGTCGTGGACCTCCTTGGGCTGATTTTGTTGGGGGCTCTCTCTGCTTCCTGGGTCTATTTCCTTCCCCAGTTTGGGGAAGTTTTCAGCCATTATTTCTTCAAATAAATTTTCTTTCTCTTCTCCTTCTGGAATCCCTATAATGTGAATGTTACATTTAATGGTGTCGCTGACTTCCTTTAACCTGTCCTCTAACTTCCTTTAACCTCTCCTTTTTCCTGTTCCATTTGGTTGCTTTCCATTACTCTCTCTTCTAGCTCATTGATCTGTTCTTCTGCCTCCTCTACTTCTTATTCTCTCTAGTGTATTTTTAATTTCAGTTATTGAGTTCTTCATCTCTGATTGCTTCTTTGGTATATTTCGTATCACTTTGTTGAAGGTCTCAAATGAGATCCTCCACTCTTCTCAAGTCCAGTGAGTATCTTTATGACGATTCCTTTGAATTCTCTATCAGGCATATTGCTCATCTCTGATTTGTTTAGCTCTGTTGCTGTGATTCTGTCCCGTTCTTTTGTTTGGGACATATTCCTCTACCCCCTCATTTTGTCTAACTCTCTGTGTCTGTTTTTATGTGTTGGGAAAGTCAGCAAAGTCAAAGAGGTTAATTTTAAATAGATTTTGGATGTAAAGTGTCCCCTACAGTTTCTCAGGACAAATATTTGATGTTTTTCTGAACCATCATCATCTCATAGTAGGAAGATAAGGGTTCTGGTAAGAGCAGGTGTTTTCCTGAGCAGCCCTGAGGTTGTATGTGGGTCTTGTTCTGTTTTTCTTTAATCAGGATTAAGAGATCAAAGCAAAGTCGAAACCTAAAGGCTGAAATGAATTTCTAACTAGTGCCAGAAATGCAATCCAACCTTTTTTTTTTTTGGTGTTTGAGTGGGTGGTGGCAATAAGAGGTCTAACCAGCAGGTTGGTCAGCTAAGTATTATAACAGGTCAAGAGTTTAGAGGTTGATCAACTTGGGTGTGAACCCCAATAAAGGACTGCCACCTCCCTGTCACAGGGATTGCCACGTCCCTGTCACTGCTCCTGCTCTGTGTAGGTGCCTTCACCATTAGGGGACCGCACCTCTTAGAAAACTCCACGGACCACTGGGAAGACAAAGCTCCTTTCAAGCTGGGAATATTGGGGGAATATTGGTAGTTTGGATGGCAACTTTTATTCCCAGGTCAAAATAACCTGAGGATGTTGCCTCAATTATTTCTGTAGCCAATGCTTAGAACTGTTCTGCCAAGAAATGCCTCAAGTGCTGGGAGAGGCCACCTCAGGGACCATGGCCTCAGCCCATCCTTGCCCACGACTTGTTTCGCTGTGCCCACATGTGCTATCGGGATTTGAGCCAACCCGGCCAGGTTTGTGATTGACTATCAACTGGAGATAGCCACATTATTCCCAAGAGCAAGACTGTACTCATGGGATGCACTAGAGAACCTCTTCACAGGTAGGCTAATGCCAACTCGGTCCCTGAAACATGTGTGAGTTGAGTTCTTGCTCAGATCTGGAAAGCTATGAACACACCTCCGATTTTGACTGTGAAATCTTCGGCCACCATGCAGTTCCGGGCAGCAAGGTCTCTGTGGACAAACTTGTTGGCGTTGAGGTATGCCATGCCATCTGCAATCTCCCCAGCCATCTGGATCATCTTGCTTAGGCTTGGAGGTGCTAGGACTGGATTATTCTGTTGGAGATTAAAAAAAAAAAAAAAACTCAGGTGACAATTGAAGGAGCTTTTCCCACCCTACGTTCTTTCAGGGTGTGCAAATCCATCTTTGTTCAATCTGAGCACCACAGGTCATTCTGCTAAGAAGCAGGACTTGCTCAGAAAGAACATATTATTATGGAGACCATAGCATCTGCTTTGTGGTAAAGTCATGCGCTTGCTCACTGACCACATCACACAAAGCTGCAGACAGAAACACCAATTAGCACAACTTGGGACCAGCATTTTCTATTTTGGGTAGGGCAAAAATTATTTAAAGTGAAACTAACAATTTCTCATATTACAAATTCTTGGTTACTCAAATTTTTATTAGTTCATATGTTCCTTTTATTTCTATAATCAAAGTACAGGCAAAAGCACGGAGAGAATATTACAAAGGCTATGTGGAAATAAGCAAATGTATCTCCCAAACGGACACTGTATGCTTTATTTCCCACATAAGCATTGTTATAAATTATCTGATCCTTCTCTTTCTCTTCAGCTTTCTTCTAAAGTACAAAAATATCGAGATTAATGTTTTCACCTTACAATGTGGCATTCTTTGGATTATTATTTTCTGTGGGCACCAAGGAAAACAGGCACTTGCCATTTAAGTCCAGGTGAAGCTTATTCCAGAGGGGGATGAATATAAAACGGTGACATGGAACATGGATGAGCATTTCCTTTTTTTTTTTTTTTTGCAGAGGAGGGCAACATACTGGCTTTAGAATTAAAGAGCAATGCCTCCAAATAATAATAATTAATCCATTTGGAAAAAAGTTTATATAAAAACACGTGCCCAAATCTCTCTAACCTTAAAAAAAAATACAAAGCCAATCAGCTTGCCACAGGTTAGATGCTAACCACCTCTTGCTCGTGCTAGCACAATAGATCATACCTCAGTTTCCCTGACTACAGAGCAGCTGTTACAACACTGCAAAGCCAAGTTGCTCTGACAGGTCCCACATGCCACCTTCCCAGCTCAAACCCTGTAGACCATGGGCAGAACATGCCTGGGTGGAATCACCGCTGGGAGGACGAGCTGGGACCATGCATGGAAAGTGCCTGCCAGTGCCTGGACCCTGGACAGGGTCCGTGCTTGGTGGAGATTGGGTTTGTCCAGTGACGTGCTAGTTTCTGTTGCAAGCTACCTTCTAGAAGCAGGGTAACAACCCTCCAAGTACTTCCCGGTTAGTTCCCTATGCTTGACATATATTTACCTTCTGAAGAGACTATCAACACTGTCTCTGGTGATTTAAAATACTTATCACTGAGTTTCCTGGGGAAGTGACATGATGTCCCCAAGGGTAAGCCTGAGCCACCACTTTCTTTTACACAGGAACCTTGTTTAGACAAGCTGTTTCCCCCACAACCCCTGCCCCCCCCCAGACCCACCGATGCCTTTTAACCTCTTCGGGGCTCTAGATATGCATGGTATGCTAGGAAATCTGTTGGTAAAATGTTAAGTTTATGCTCATGATACTTAAGCTGTGGAGTATTAAGTATATGTGTTTACTAGAAGTGGTCATTCATAACTAATATGAAAAACAGACTCAATGAAAGGAACCTGGTTGTAAATATCGGAGGAGAGGGCTGCCATTTTGTCAGCTCATGGCGCTGCGGTGCTGTTCTTTCAGACATTTCAGAGAGCGGAAATCTTTCATTTGCTCAGAGCTACTGAAGACATGTATACACAAACACCCACATTTAGCAAAGTAAATGAGCAAATCTTCACTTGGGGAGAAGATGCCAAGTAGAATATAATGAATCTGCAGGACAAGCATACATATTTTTATACTTGACATGAGTTCGGAAGAACAAGTTTAAATCTGACAAATCTAAGAGTGAATTTTAGATCTGAAAAGGACTTGGATAATCATCTTGTCCAACCCTCTTATTTTACACGTGAGGAGCCGAGGTGCAGAGGCCCGCAGCGGCTGCCTGAGGACGGCAGACAGCTAAACAGCAGAGCCAGGACTGTGACGTGTCCCAAATGTTTATTCTGTGCCTGAAGTCAGGGACGCAGGGAGTGAGGGTTCCATACTTTTCAGAGGTGCCTTGAATGAATCTGGTAAGAAATACGCTGCCATGCATCTCTAGCCGCCCATCTGATGAAGTGGTTTTCCTTCACTCTGGCTTGTGAATGACCAAAGTGAGCCAGGAAAAGGCATTAAGATCCAGGGAAGCTGGGGACCCACGGAGGCAGAGCAGAGGGTGGGTGTGTTTTACCCTGCTCGCAGGTGCCCCGGGCCACACCCGGCCTCGTGACCCTCACAGAACCACAAGCATCATCTGCTGTGAATAAAGGAAGCCACATGTGAACAGGTGCTCAGAGCTCAAATTAAGGAACTACTACGTAGAGGATAATTAAGTTGCAGATTAAAAGAAAACAAAAGATTAAACTCAAGCAGAGAAAAGCTGTAGAAATTCAAAAAGGGTAGAGAAAGGGAAGGAGTCTGGCAGGGGCAAGCAGATACAAAGCCTACTCAACTGGAGCAAAGTCAGGGTGAAAGTAAGGACTTTGAACGCAACGAGGTGGCCCAATGAAAGGCAGATGTTGCTGGGATTATTTGTAAGTGTTTATCTACTGGTTTATTCTTAGAATTCCTCACTTTCAAGTCATGCTTCCATATGATAAAAAGCTGGCTGTGGGTTCCTGCCACAGAAGGGGAGATGCCACGGTGACTAATGAAAAACTGCACAGGATTTCAACCGGTTTAGACTTTGAAGCTCATAACACAAATGGATCTTTTTTACTAGATGAAGCAGAGACTGTGCAGCTGAGGCGATTATCAGTCTGCCTCAGAACTGGGCCCAAAATGCGGGTGCAGAGTTTGAGAAACAAGGCTTCCCGGTCTCCAAGGCGCAGGCTGTTGACAGTGTGGGGTGGGGCGAAGGGGCGTGTGGGTAGGGAGGGGGCTCATGGGGGAGAGGCTGTCTTGTGCATGGAGCTGGGTGGGAGACCACCCCGGCACAAGAATCGCGTCCGTCTAACACTGAACTCTGACAAGCGTTTATGGAAAGACTGCCTGCCCCAAACACTGACCCTGAACTGGGTGTGGCTGTTCCCCGGGGTGAGAAGCCGAACACGACGGGGTGGGAGGGGAATCCACTCAGGGACCAGAGAGGAGAGAGTCCATGCTAGGAGAGAAGTCGGCGGAGGAGCTGGTTCCTCCTGGCCGGGGAGGTGGGGGGCGGGGGGCAGGTTGAGGGAGCGCGGGCGGTGGAGGAGGTAACTGGCGGTGGAAGAGGGAATGCAGGAACAGACGCACAGAGGCATTAGGGCGCGGGGTACTTGAGGAATGGCAAGTGCCTCTCACAAAAGCTCACAGGGCCCCCTCTCGTCAGGGAAATCTTTCACATAAAGGACCTACAACCAAGCATGCGGCAAGAAACATTGGATGCTGAGAGTAAGTAAATTTAAAGATTTTTTTTTATTATTATTTATTTATTTGAGAGAGAGAGAATGAGAGACAGAGAGCATGAGAGGGAGGAGGGTCAGAGGGAGAAGCAGACTCCCCGGTGAGCAGGGAGCCCGATGTGGGACTCGATCCCGGGACTCCAGGATCATGACCTGAGCCGAAGGCAGTGGCTTAACCAACTGAGCCACCCAGGCGCCCGAGAGTAAGTAAATTTAAAGACACCGTATCTCCTGGGGGAAAGGATGGATAACGTGCAAAGTCGGTTAAAACCAAAACTGACCTCTATTTCTGGCCTCAGAGACCTGAGATAGCTTTTGAGATCCCCCCGTGTCATCAGTTCCATGATGACCAGCGTCGGCTGGCCCTGGGACACTACGCCCAGCAACCGCACCTGGGAGGAATGACAGAGAGAAGGACTCAGACGGTGACGGTTACCCGTGATTGTCCCCACCCACGCTTCTCTGTCTGGTGCTGGGACCTGCAGAGCCCCGATGAGCAGGCCCCAGGGGGCTCCACTGGCCGGGGTCTGCCTCCCATGCACAGATGTCTAAGGGCAGCCATGAGGTGATGGGGGACTCCGGAAGGTGGGAGCCAGGGGGGTGGAGGAAGACACCAAACTCCCCAGGTGAGGCCACGGACACCCTGGGAGGCTCCAGGGAAGGGTTCTCGCTGTGTCAGGTTCTGGCTTCCCGGGGCTGTCTCTTACCACATGGTGACAATTGAACTCCTTCATCACTGAAGCCTCATTGAGAAATTCAATCCTTTCACGCATGCTCGCGGCCTCGTTCACTGTTTTAATGGCCACCCTGGTTTCGGGCTCATCTTTAACCACGCCTTTGGCAACTCCTTCGTATACCATCCCAAATGAGCCCTGCCCCAGCTCTCGGCTCATGGTGATCTTCTCTCGAGCAACTTCCCACTCGTCAGGTACGTACACTAGAGAAGAAGAAACCAGAACTGAGCCAGGTAAGGCAAGGGACCCCCTGGGCAGAACGTGCTTTTGGGGGAAAACCAAAGAACACAAGATGCCACTTCCTAAAGCCCACAGAGAACACTGGGAACAATGACGCGGCTTGTCCTGAAATTTCTGTCAGGCAGCAATACGGTCAAATGCTGGTATTTCTCCAAAAAAAAAAAAAGTAAATAAAATCTTAAAAAAAATTCTGGTATTTCAAGTCTTCAAGGATTCTGCGATAATCTGAGGATACTAACAGCAAAGAAGAACCACAAAGGAGTCCAATTTGAGATGTGCTAAGTATAGAATTCACAACAGGTTTCAAAGACTTAGGGGTGCCCAGCTGGCTCAGTTGGAGGAGCGTGTGACTCTTGATCTTGGGATTGTGAGTTTGAGCCCCACATTGGGTGGAGAGATTACTTAAATAAATAAAACTTTAAAAAACAAAACCCCAAAAAACTCATAAAGTCTTAGCACAAAAAAATCATGTGAATATTTCAATAGTTTTTGTACTGATTACATATTAAAATTGATAATACTTTGCATATATTGGGTTAAATAAAGCATATCGTTAATACTTATTTCACTTGTTTCTTTTATACATTTTTTTTTTTATATGGCCACAAGAAAAACTTGAGGTTGCATATGGGACTGGCATTATAGTTCCATTGGGAGCACTGTTCTCGTCTGGACAAGTGTCTCCAGGCTCATCAAAGACCCCAGGGTGTCTAAAGGGGTACAGAAACAACTGAGCTCTGGCCCCGAGGAGCATTCAGTGGTGAGCAGGGTGGAGGGACAGCCGATGAGCAGAGGGGTGTCCCCAGGGCTCTGGCCTGGGCTCTGTGAGCTCAGGGACCTCCCACAACCGGGGTGAGAGGGGCTGGGTGGTGGGACATGCTAAGACAGAGCCCAACTAGGACTTCTCCAGCCCCGGCTTTTGGTCAGTCTGGTTTAAGGAATTAAATAAGTAATTCCAGGCAGGCAGGAAGGAGAAAGAAAGAGGAAGGAGAAGGGAAGTAAGAAAGAAAACAAAACAAAACAGAGGATCCGTCCTGCAACCCGAATGGGCAGAATGAAAACTAAATTACATCTCTGAGGAGTGTCCGATATGGCCTATATTAATCAATCTAGAATTTTCTCTCATACACATTTTTGCATTTCACATTACATGTTTTGGAATTTCATAAACGGAAGTCTACCCTCTGCATGGCTTAGGTGCCACACAGCCCCGGAGAAGAGGCTGATGCTTGCTTAGGAGAGTTAAGTATGCAAGACAAGCCTGTAGATAAGACTCCTCATAATACCCCTCAGAAAGTATAAAGAGACACTGCCTCTATCCATTTATCTCTGAAAATCCAGGCTTGCTTTTAATCAGACTTAACTATGTAGCACACCATAAAAAACAGAGTTAAAACCAATCACATTCCTTCCTTGGGAGGTCCCTGAAGTCAATACTTTGAATCCTTTTCTCTAAATTCAACCCAGCAGCTCTGACTTGAACTAGCAGTCCTAAGCCCCTCCAGCCAGCCTCCGGTTATGGGCACAACGTTATCAGCACTTCCCTATAGGGGATTTTCGGTGTACTTGGAGAATGGTGACATGCAGATTAGCTTTTGGAGAAAGGAGTTTTTAAAGCATTTGCGAACTGCAATGTCATTTTGTTACCCCTTGAGGATTCTAGCTATAAGGTGCTTGTCAAAAGGCCGAATAAATTAAGTTCAAATGAGGTGATGCTGTTCCTACCTGTTGGCCTGGGTGACAATGAGTTGGGGTTTTGTTTATTTTATTTTTAAAGAAGAATCAAGGCATATTACGAAAGTAGTTCTGGAAAGATACACAATTTGAATTCAATTCACCAGTACTGTCTGATATTATCGTATTAATGCTCTTTCCAAACTTCCTGGATGCTTTGTAGTCAAAACTACAAATGCCCGTCTCCTGTGCTTCATTTCAAAGCAAAGCAAAGTCTCTGGAATAGTCTTATTCCATCTTTACAGAGAGGGAAAGTGGCTTTGCATTTCCCCCATAAATTCCATTGGGTGTGTGATGACTCCTTACCTTACTTTTTTAAAAATAGCTATCATTTATACAAACAATGCATAAATGCATCTTCTTTTTTTAAAAAAGGAAAAAGATCCTCTCCACAAGTAACTACTATTTTAAGTTTGGTTGTGTATCCTTCCAGAATGTTCTCTATGCCTTATACACATACACACGTTAATTATAGGAATACAGAGGTGTGTGTGTGTGTGTGTATGTACATACAAATATATATGTGCCTATTAAAAATAAAATTTTGTGAGATCTTTAGAGAATCAGGAATAATGTCATTATTCTGCACTTGATTCCTACTCAGGGAAGGCTGCTTTTGATTGGCTTTACGGTAAACAGAACTGAATTAGAAACTATTAAAGAAATCACAGTGAAACTTCACACATTTATATAGTGCTTTTGAGTGTCAAAGTGTTTTACTTATGTTTTTCATTTGATCAGGATAATCAATCAGAATAATCATGAATCTATCTCCTATCTCCCATACATTTACACTGACTTTCACTTCACCGAAAGCCGAGAAAGAGGCAAACACTTTTTCTAAATGCATCTACCCGATTTCACGCACTTATTCATTCACTTGACGAACACAATCCAGATACTCCTGTGGGTCAGCTTCCCCACCCACCCCAAGGAGCTCACCTCACGGTGATGGCATCACACCGTCCACAAGATGCCAGGGACTTTGTCACCCCGACTTCTCAACTGCCTCACTATGTGACCTGGGCGAGCTTCTCCTCTGCACCTCCCGGCCTCACCTACACACAGGCAGGCCTAAGAAAAGCCACCTTACAGGGATGTAGGGACCTATGGGATGGCATTATAAAAGCCCCCAGCAAAGTGCCAGGTAATGGTGCTAGGACCAATGCCCCACGCTGACTGACTTTGAAAGGTCTGGATTCAAGCCCACGAGGGAGAAGAGACAGCAAACAAGGAAAAAAAAAAAAAAAAAAAAGAAATATCCATGGAGTACAACCCCACTTCCAAGTCAGACCTTCTCGGTCACTGAACTAAATGGCCCTCATGAGTTACTACCCGAGGGTATGTGAATGGGCCGTGGGGGTATAAATCGTGTGATCCCAGTCAGGGGTGGGTGGGTGAACAGAAGAACTCCAAGACAGAAAAACGCAGGGAAGCCATGAGTGATCAAAGACAGTCACAGCGACACCAAACTCAAGCTGAAACAAGTTGAAGAGGACGGTCTGGTCAGCTGCGGCATCCCCTCTGACTAGATGTCAACAATTAAAACAGCTTTGGTCATTCTAGCATAAAATTTTAGGCGATTAAGTAAATTGATTACTGCGCTGACCAGTCATCTCTGAAGCCTGTCTTTCTTTGGGGCATTCCGCCCAGTCCCAAAATGATCAACATACTCAGTGAACTGCTGAAAACTTTGAAAAAAAAAAAAAAAGCGTTAACTAAGACGTATTTTGAGGCCAAAGTTTCCTCAAAATAATGCAACCCTCTTCCCCCTAAATTAGCCACACTCCCAAAAGCTCCCTGATCTGGGATGTCCCCAGGCAGTGACCCTGGCTTAGCCACTTACCGTCGGCGGCGCTGAAGTACTCTGGGTTCACGGAAGCGTACAGCACTCCATTCCCCAGCCTGCTGTTATTTCTGTCAAAAGGATAAAATTCAGGTTAAAAAAAAAAAAAAAACCATCTCCACACATGTCATATTTGCGCTATCAGTTTTATTTGTCCTGTTTCATTAAGTGGATATCCAGAGGAAGGGAGTGAGGGGACAGTTCCTGCCTGTCGGCTCTCATCGGGCCCCGAAGCCATCTTGCTAACATGTCCTTGGGCTTCTTCAGGGGCCTCGGATTAAAGCTTTTTATGAAACACTTGTTTCTTTACTTCATCAGAAACTGAAAGGCCTACTGACTGGACAGAAAAGGCTGGGCCCTGTGTTTGGAAAAATCTCTGCATGAGCAGCAGTTATCTGTGAGCGAGGGGATGAACCGTACTGGCCCCAATATACATTTTCTGTTGCTGCTGAATCATTAGAAAATGTTCTCTTTTTCCTGCGAGGAACATTTGATGGGAAAATCAGGTTTCCCAATCCATAAAATACTTCCTCAAAATCCTCACGTTTCCCTGCGCTCAGGTTCAAACCACCAGACCAGCACAGCCACACAAGGTGTCTGAACTTTTCAGTCACTCACCTTTTCCTGTGGAAGACATACAACATTATAACCAGCCCTCCCACTATCAACAGGACAGCAACAGGCAGAGCGATGATCAGATGGATGAAGTTTTCATACGTTACTGCAGAAACAAGGGAAATGATAAAATATCACTAGGTGCGCAAGCTGGTCGTTTTTTTGTTTGCTTTGTTTTGTTTTAGCTGGAGGTATGAAAAAAAAAATCCCCGAAAATTCCTTTACTGCCCTATCGCAAACTAGGAATTCTGAAGGTAAACAGTGTCAGATAGAACAGTAAAAAACTCTGAGTTATTTGGAAACAAACAAAAAAAAGACAAGTGCACACAGAGGAGTGAACTCATTTTTAAAGTACAGTGTACCCTGAAATAACAGTTCGAGTGGTGGGCTCGAGTAAAATAATCTTTGTATGCAATTCAATGACTACTAGTGCATGCATATACACACACACACACATTTGCAAAAATAAAATGAATGGATTCTCACCTGTAGGGAGCTCAAGCTGTACTGACCCTTGTGTTTAGATCATAAATGTATTATTTAACCTGTTTGGTATGAAACTGGTGTCCTAGTATGCCGTACTGACCTTTACCTGTCTTAAGACAGTTCCACAGACAATTTAAAAACACCTAACTGGATGGCACCCCTGGCCAAAGTTGCTCTGATTTCTCCCCAGACATTAGGGTCTAGTTACAAGCCGGACCGCGACATCTGCTCATCACCATCACCAGCACTTAGATGACAGGTGCCAGGCTGGACACCAGGGATGCTGCTGCAGACTCTGCCAGAAGCCACAAGTCAGCACGTTCCCAGGTGGCACAACAACCAAAAAGGTGGACCGCCCACCCTGCAAGGATGCGGAGAGGAAGGGAGAGGAGAGAATTGAGTCGGGGAAGCTTTGCAAGTGCAGAGGAAATGTTGGAGATGATACTGGCGAGAAGCAGGGCTGGCTCCCAAGGGGCCTGTTCAAGCCAAGCAGTTTGAACCTCATTCTGCAGATGAAAGGGAGCCAGTGTGAGCTCTGGGCCCCGCAGTGAGCCGAGCAGATCTGTGTATGTTGGGATGGCGGTGCCTGAGGTCAGCCTGAATGGAGGAGGCAGGCACGGCCACGTCTTGGAGGGTTCCAGGGGGCGGGAGGGGACCTGGCTGTGTTCTGCAGTATCCAGCCCAGACCTCACAAAGAGACCACTGCCTCTTTGCTACAAATGAGGAAGGCTCACAGAGATGAACTGTCCTCCCTAGGGTCACGCAGACAGCTGGGAAGCCACGGTCCTGGGACCTTTCCTGCTCCCACAGCTCAGACCTACCCCCCACGGCAAGTACCCTAGGGGCCATGACTTAATGGTGGTGGCAGCAGGGGCAGGACTTCAGTGACACAGAAGACGCAGAACCAATGGGTTGAATGGGAAATGGGTGGCTGGAGAGAGAGACAGAGGAGGATGTAAGGTTCGAGGCTTGCGTGGGGCGTGGATCATGGCGCCACAGACTGACCTTGGGAACAAAAGAGATAGATAGAGACTCCGAGGGCAGCAACCGTGATTTTGGTTCTGGTACTCATGGGAGTGGGAGGCACTCCTGGGACACCCAAGTCCAGATGTCTATGCGGAAACGATGGAACTCACTGGGCACCCAGTGATACCCGGTAGAAGTCACGCATCAGTGATTATTTTGCCCCTAAAAATCATCATCATCATCATTATGACTCTTTACAGATTATTAATGCTATTTTAATTTTTAAAATTAAGGACACTTTCCTCAAATCACTCTCAACATGGATGCATCTCCTGCATTTTTTAATTCTTGAAAACACTCTCAACTATCACTGCCTTTGGGAAGCCAGCCGAGTTTTAGTTTTTCTTCCCAAGGACTACTACTTACATTCATATCACTTAGCCTACTGGTCAGGTTGTACCATGTTCTGTCTGAGTTTCACAATTCAGTGGGGACACGGAGAAACTGGAACACAGCCGGAGAGGAGCAAAATGATGAAATGGCTAGAAAATTGGTCTCTGCGACTGGGCAACAAGAAAAGGCCAAGAGACTGGAGATTATTTAGTCTGGAGAAGAAAAGTCTGAAGAGTCATTTAATAGCATTCAAGCGCATGAAGGGTTCCTAGGACAGCGGTTGCCAGCAAGCTTGCAAAGCTTCCGTCTCCTCTGAGGATTAAACAAGAGGAAAAGAGGCTACGCTGTAGCAGGAGACTCTTGTCTGACATAAGGACAAACAGCAAAGCAGGCATGCAGATTCCATTTTCCTGCAGTATGTGCCAACTTCTGCTGGAAAGAGTCCATCAGAGGGGCTCTGGGGGTTCCCAGCGGCATCCCAGCACCCCCAGGGTTAAAGACGGGGTAGCAATGGCAAATGGGAGCGTGTCCCCTCCGAAGAGAAGCCAAGGCTCCTATTTCAAAGACTGCGGCCTGATGCTACACTTCTAAACCTAGGCTCTGTTCCTAAGGGATGGAAGCAGAGAAGAGAGAACAGCGGAGAAGAGAAAGCCAGCCACAGCTCTGGAGAGGGTTCTAGGCATTACTGTGAAGGTTCTAGCACTGGACTGGGTGGCAGAGGCTCGCTGCAGAGAGCAGGTTAGTGGGCCCCATGGAGAATTCAGACTCTTTTAGCTGATGGAATTCTCTGCCTGAGCGATCTGTTTACCCCTAAAACCTGAACTCAGGCACAGTTTTAGGCTCATAAAATGTTACCTCAAGGTCTGCAATTCTATGCACGCCATCCTTCTTTTGATATTTGTACTATTAGGATTTTCAAATACCTGTCTTTGACTCTTAGGCGCTAACCAGGTGGACGGCTGGATTGGTTGGATCCTGAATTTAAGAACTCAGACGCCAGCTCAGGGCAGCACAGATGTTGGACCCAAGGAGGGACCACGGACGTGAAGACCACCCAATGGACCCAAAAGTAGCACCAGTAAGCACAGTGGACTGCTCTTCCACGTGGGGCAGTGTGGAACAGTATTAGGCCAAATTAGATCCCATTATCTGAACACGAAATCATCTGAAAAACTAGGTTTCTAATAAGAAACAGAAACTCAATGTGGAAATAATGAATACTTATATCACCAAATAAAATACTGCACTTTCTCGGCCCAGGAAGCATAGGGCCCGTGGTGTACTTACATGTTTTACAAAACCCAGTTTTCAAATCTGAAATCCTGGCCTAGTCCTGTCTTCTAAGAATTCTGTCTTGTCAACGGTTTGAGTATAAAATCACAACATGGCCCAGTCTCTGTGCCAGACAGCGAGCGCTGTGTGCATTTGATGTGTGCTGGTGCTTTAAAAGTGCATCTGTATTTTTACTGACAGGCAGTGAAGGGGACAATGCCTCAGTGTGAGATGCCGTTACAAAGACTCCTACGCTGGAACAGGCTGGATCAGATGGCCCCCAGATTTTGGTCACCCCTTAGGATTCTAAGCCCTAAATCCAAGCCCTAACCAGCTGCCCGAATTGGACAAGAGGTGGAATGGTCAATTCGGCGCTTTGTAAAATGCTTCACACATAAAACAAGTTGAGAGCGAAGGCCTCTTGCTGACGCGCCGCCCCCCCCCAAAAAGGGGCTTAGACCCTCTCCCTGACCATCAAATGAGGTAGGAACTCCAAGCAGCAGCTCCCCCTGCTCGAGCTCCCAAATGAGGTGCTGACAGAAGTGTGACCCTTCTGAAACCTGGCCAACTTGGTTCTGACAGAAAATCAGAAAGTCAGGGAGAGCCCCGACAGCCCAGGCTTTCCCAAGCCCGGCCCAACCTGCTTCTGCATCTTCCAGCTACTCCTTCCCCAAGCCTTACTTTTGGCTGGGACGTAGAAGAACACAGGATCCGTCCAGGACCCATTCCCAGAGAGAGAGGTGGCCTGGATCCGGGCCGTATAGTTCCCGGGGTTGAGCCGGTTAAGCTTGGCGCCTCCATACTTCCTGTACTCCTGTCTCGATACACATTCCCGCTGATCCTGGGGAAAATGAAACACAAGTGCCAATTCCCCACAAGCATGTGAGAAATGGGTGCCTCTTGCTGTCCCATCTCTCGCGTCCCACCTGACAGTGATCCCGATTTGCAATAACAGGGAAGAAACCAAGTGTTGAATGGCAGTCTTCCAGTAACTGTAAACACTCCCAAGTTCTAACCAAATATATATCTATTTTTTGGTAATCAAAAAGAGCGCCAGAAAGAGAAAAATTTCTTTCTGGCTTATGCCGAACGATCATTTTCGGTAACAAAGTAGTTTCTTACGGGGGAGAACGAGCCCCCCTCCTCATATACTCTGAGTATTCTCCTCAAAGAGTGTGGAGCTAGTAGAAGGACTTAAGTCCTCACTGACTTAGCTCCTCATTTTATGGGGTTAAGTCCTCAGCTAACCAGAAGGTGACCTGTGCTGTCCTGTGGCACATGCTATCAACTGGAATGGGGACACACCCAGTTGCGGACCACTACGCCTGCCTTACCTCGATCTGTGATCCATATTTTATTTCATACATTAGAATCAATCCGTTGGGATTCTCAGGTTCCGGCCACTTTAGAAAGATGGAGTTTTCAGGCCTCGACTCCCAGGTCACCGGCCCAGGAATGTCATCTGCTCCTTCTGTGCAACAATTTAAACAAACGATAAAGTCAGATTCGGGTCTGCCCCCGCCCCCCGGGTGGGCTACCCTGAGCATGCCCTCCCCCAGTCTGTGTGTGCAGGGCTGAGGGCAGGGACCACATATACTCCCCCAAAGCCGGCTGCTCACACGTAGCATTGGGTTTGGAATCCAAGCAATGTAATGACCTGTGAGTCTCAAGATGCCACGATACCTTTCCTCCCCTCAGCAACCGCGCCCCCTCACCCCACCCCAGAAAAAGCCTCCTGTATCAAGTACAGTCGGAAAATCCCGGCAGCTTGAGTAACTTATTTCTGGTATTTGGCTTCTCCCACTCGAGAAAGGAAACTATGTGATGCCGTCAAACACAAGCAGCATCGAAAAGGCACCTTGTGAGCAGAGATGGCTGGCAGCAAGCCTCCAGGCGGCGACATGGAGCCCTCCAGGCCTGCATCTGCATGTGGCAAATGCAACTCCGATGCGGGCATGAAGGACGGCCCACGAGCTGGGCCTGCTGCGTCCACCCTTCCTCCAGCCAGTGCTAGCTGAGGCTGGGTGCTTGCACTCTTGCTTCTGCTTAAAGCAGCAAGCCAAGTGGTGAGCAAGAGTCCCTGCAAGTTACAGCCAGGGAAGGCTCTGAGAAATGAGCTGGCTTCTGTCTCTCCCAGAAGGGTGGGGAAACTGAGGCCAGGGAAGCTGACAGCGGCCTTGAGACATGCTGTGCATCCCCTCCTAGACTCCACTTCTTCTGGGCTCCTTCTCTACTACCTGCTGACCCCGGGCAGGAAAGAGGATGGGCAGTTCACCTATCCTTAAAGATGGATGGATGGCAGTGTGAGTAATAGGCAGCTTCTAACTTCCAAAGAGGAAGGTGAAGACCCAAGGGGCAGGACCAAAGGCTACTCCAGCAGTTGACCTTGAGGAGTGAAGGTCACTCTGAGTCAAGGCAGCTAACGGATTCCACTGAACCTGACGACTCATGAGGGACCAGGCAAATTTACGTGTGTACAAATGGGGACTAGGGCCATGGGAAGGTACAATGTGAACCAAGTGGGAAGAGGGGAGTTGACCCCGAAGGGCGCTCCCTGCTCTTGTAGGACTTTGTGTGAAGACTGGGTTAGGAATGATGTCATTATGAATGGACTCCATTTCCTGGGCTGCTGGTCTACCATCCTGCCTACAAGTGTTCTTTAATAAGCAGGACGGAGACTAAGGGTCATTGCCCTGGATGACAGATTCTGTGTCCATAGAACACAAGCTTCTCCACTGGGCTGTGAGTCAGGAGTGGGGTTCGTTGGATCACACCCTACCTGCAGGCATGGTTCTTGCAAAAACAAAGTTGGAGGCGCTGCAGCCCAGCTTCTCAGCCTCGTGGTTACAGCTGTGGATGTCAATGCGGTACAAAGTAAAAGGCCGGAGGTTAGAGATTACAGTTCTCTCCTTGTTATCCACTCTGCTCTCAAAGAAAGGGTATTCTGTCTCGAGCTCTTCTGGGTCTGTGATATTATAGGTATCTGCCACCGTGGTGTTCCTGCTTCGGCTAGACATGGTGGTGTTAGTGACTTGTGTGACGTCTCTCCGCTTCCTTTCAGGTCTGCAAGGAAGAGAGAAACTTGGCCTGTAAGCGCCTCTACCTCTTTTGTCCCTTCTATGACTTGGGTTAGAGTAACGGAAAGAAAAGAAAAATCTTAACTTTGGATGAAAGGAGCTATTCAGCCCCTTTGGATAAAGACCAACAAATAATACGGGGATTTCCTTCTTTGTTATTTATTTTGCTTTCTCTACTCTGCAAACCTCAGAATCAGCACACAAACTGCCCCCTGGCTCCCAGAGTGGTTACTCGATTGTATCTAGAGGCAAACAAATGCCTCAGTCACTCCTGGCCCTGCAGCATCCTGGCTCTTTGGTCAGAATGTCCATGCCACCTGGTCCACTGACCTTATGGTTAAGCATTAAATGTGACCACCCTGCTGGCCACACTAAGATTTATTAGGGGGTGAGGTGAGAGGTGAGCTGTGTGGTGTAGGCCCCAGCAGGATGGCTTCTCTGACCCCCTTTGTGGAAAGAAAGATACCAAGCAGCGAGCACTTGCTTGGACCCCCAGACCCTTCCCTCTGGGGCTCCCACTGACTCTCTCTTCCTCTGAGACCCTAGGGTCTGTATTTTTCACACTCCTGGTGGTCTTTCCAGTCTGGCTCCGCCTTACACTCAGCAGTGACCTCCTGTGGCCTCTCCAAGGCCCCGCTGTTGCCAGGGGTAGAGTCACTGTCATGGCCCTGGACTGGGGCTTAGAACAACAGCTACAAAAGCAATAGGACAGCAAAAGAGAAATCAAAAGAGAATGTTCACACCCAAAGGGCAGATGAGGCAGTCCACACAGCTGGACAGGGGGACTGTTCCAATGGCTACTGTTGTGGGCTTTGGGCTCCCTTCAGAAACCCTGAACACAAGCCCCTTGCATTTACTGAAGGCAAGAGCACCTGAGAGTAAGCACCCAGACGAGAAACAGCCACCCTCAGGCCAACCACCAGAAACAGTGGGAAGCAGGCTGCTGTCTGTTCCGCACTGAGGCTGTCCGCGGGCGTCACGCATCCTGTGCGCAGGCAAAGGGTGGAGAGGAAACAGAACCGAGCTCATCCGGGAAAGAAAACCAAGAGCCCAAGGCAAGGAGAAAGATCACAAAGTGGGAATGCTCATCAGTTCTCATGTAGGGGAGAAAGAGAAGTCCCACAGGGAATCAGGGCACCTGGGAAGCCATTTGTGGCTCAGCTGACCCTCAGCAGGCTTCCTGTGGGTCCTTATTTGCCTTGAAGTGAAAAATTTGGAAGGGAAAAGCAGGGGGCTTGGGGAAAGGGCCTCTGGCTCCCCAGCCTGCCTGGCCCATGGATTCCCCCGCACAAAATGCCATCACCACTTTTGTACAATGGCCCAGTGGGTCCTAACCTAAAACACAAACCATTCAACCCAGATATGCTCACTCCACCAGGCAGAGAACTGCCAAGGCAGGCCGTGTGCGAATGGCCCCAATGCATTCGCTTTCATAATATTAGGGGAGGAAAGATTAGGAGATGAGGCTGATCATTTCCCATCCTCACACCCCGCACACCAGCCAACCTTCCTGGAAGGGAAGGACACAAGGAACTACATTTATTGCTGCGGAGATCTTTTTTGACACCTACCAGAACAAATGTCCTGCCTTCTCTTCAAAACCAATGCAACACATAAAACCAACACAACACACCCTTATGTCTATAAGAGAGAAGTTGCTTGGGTTTAATCCACTGCAAAAAATATAATGCTCTGCCCAAACCCCTCCCACAGCCCATCCCCATTTACCTGGGATTACACCTGTTACTAGTGACACCAAGTTAGGGACTGGGGGGAGGGGGGCCACACGGGACATTATCAGGAAGACAGGTATGGGGCAAGCAGAATGGCACACCCATGATTCTTTGTAAACAGCCCCATTTCCAAATGGTGTGACCAACAGCAAGGATCACTGTCACCATTCCCCACTCCCACCCCATGACACAACTAGCTTCATCGGAAAACCTTGCAGTCTTCAACATCTTCCAACATTTCAGTTACTTAAACCCAACTACGTGATTTAAAAAATAAAGGCAGTGGTCAAATGAAAGACATTCACCACCAAATACAGACTCCAGAAAGCAACTTACAAACTCTAGCTTCCATTCTAATTCAAACCATATGGCATACGTTGGACACTGTGTAATATACCAAACCTGACTTGACTGGCTTATTCTTAGAATGAACTGAAAGAGGGGCGCCTAGGTGGCTCAGTCAGTTAAGCATCTCAGTCAGTTAAGGTCTGATCTCAGGGTCCTGGGATCGAGTCCTGCATGGGGCTCCCTGCTCAGTGGGGAGCCTGGTTCTCCCTCTCCTACCCACTTGTGCTCTCTCTCTTGCTATCTCTGTCACTCTCTCAAATAAACAAATAAAATCTTTAAAAAAAAAGAATGCACTGAAAGAAATAAAAATCGTCTTTGGATAGCTTAAACAAAAAAAACCTTCCTTTATGATTCAATCATTCTGCCAGCCAGACACTCCTTCTATCAAAATTGTGTTGCAAATTGAGTGGACATGAGAGTTATACCCTTGGTAGGAGGCATTAAAAAAAAAAAATACGAACTTCGTATAAATTGTGGCCATTCACCGTGGGCAAATATAGTATTTATATTCATCCTAAGAAAAGCCAGAATAGCAGGTCAGACTTGTCTTAGGAGAGAGAATGTCGGGGGCCAAAGTGGTGGACGCACGCACTTGTCAGGGGGGATTTGGCATAGAGGAAACTTATTTTGAATTCAATAACACGAACACAATGCATTGCTAATATCCATGTCACCCATAGCTCGGCCTTCACATTGCCTGATCTTGCATTCCCCATGTGATGAGAAAGAAAGGTACTGCTTTGTAACTACAAACTGAAAGCTCGGAGCCCTTTAGCAAAACTTCTCCAAAGCGTGGACTCACAACCTGAACTTCTGGAGGGCCGGTGGGATGAGACAGCAACGGAACCGACAGCTTTCACTGGAGAATAAACAGGTAACTCCTGCCCAACCTGTTTGGGACACTCTCAATCCATCTGCTTCTGTGTCCACAGCAAGTGGCACTAGCTGAGCCTCTCTGCAGGCATGGGGGGGAAATAGCCCACGTTGAGAAGCAGTGCTACCAAAAAGGCAAGAGCCCTAATGTGTCAAAATGTAGGGCCAAGTCCCTAGTGGATCGTTCATGAATTAGGCTGTTGGAGAAGTCACTATGCCTGAATTCTAGTTTTTTAAACATCTCTGAGCTCCTCAAACACTCTTATTCTTGGAAGTACACATGACCTACAGACAATCGGGACTAACACTTGAACCACAGCTCTAGGAGGAGAGGTCTCCAGTGGAGCAGGTCAGGGGGACCCACAGAAGGCTCTCCTACCCTCACACTCCAGTGGTTTCAACTCCTAGAGAAGAGAGGAGGGGCAGAAAGGCACGAAGCAATGAAGAGCTTCGTTCTGAAAAGAATGCCCGCCACCCTAAGAGGTCTTTCTTTCTTAATGATTTTTCAAAGTAAGATGGCTATCTTGGACTATTACCCAAATATCAGGAAGGTCACTTGACAGGAAAAAAAAAAAATCACTTTAAAAGCCATTTGTCGTTACAACCTAAGTAAGCCTTTAAAGGCAAAGTCATTACAGAATAAACAGAAGCTATGGGCTTCTGGTGCCTCTCGGGGTCGGGGGCAGGAAGAACAGCGATCACAGAACACGCCGGGCAGCGGGCTGGTGGCTGGGGCACCGTGGGGACCAGAAGTGCGTAGGTGCAACCGAATCCAGCTCCTCCACTCACATTTCAGCCAAGAGGCTGTTTGTAAATGCCACACTATAATCTTCCAGGAGGACAGGGGAGACGGGGACCACCACTCTGTTTCCATCTCCTTCCCCAGATATTGCAGGTACCCTGATGGACTCCCCTCCATGTTTTGTTTTTTTTTTTTTAAACCACTTCTTATTGTGGTAAAATAAAATTTTTGATTAAAAAATACCCAAATCTTGCCATTTTAGCCATTTTTAAGTGTACGATTCAGACACTGATTGCATTCATGATGTTGTGCAACTATCACCACTGTTTCCAACATTTTTCATCACCTCAAACGAAGCTCTTAGACCCATTAGGGCCCAACTCCCCATTTCCCCCTCCCCCCAGGCCCTGGAAACCTGGCATGCACTTCCCATCACCATGAATTTGCCTCTGGTAGATGCTTCCTATGGGTGGAATTCTACAGTATCTGCTCCTTTCGCATCTGGCTTCTTTCACTTAGCACGATGATTTCAATGTCCATCCGAGTGGTGCCCTTCGTCAGAATCTCATTCCTTTTTATGGCTGAATAACATGCTATTGCATGGCTAGGCTGTATTTTGCTTATCCATTCATTCCCTGATGGACACGCCGCTTGTTCCCAGCTTTGGCTACTGTGAGTAGTGCGGCTTTGCACCTTCACCTCCCTCTGCTCTTTGTCCTCTGCTTCTCAAACCTGCTTGTCAAGGGTGCCCGTGGCCCTGGGCTGTGCTTACAAGTTGGGTCGCTTTCAAAACACTCTGGTCTTTTCCCTCTTGCTTCACTTCTCCTCAGCTGGGCTTCGAGAGGCCGCAGGGAGAAGTGGGATGGGCAGGAAGGGCCCGCACACCAGCTCTTCCATTTGCTGGTCTCCATGGGTGGGGGCCTCTCTGAGCTTCACTTCCCTGCCCCCCGCCCCCAGCCGAGAGCCCACCTGCCCTCAGTGGGAGGCCTTGTGGCCGAGGCAGTGGCACTGACGTGCCCGCGGCCCCCCCTTTCCTTCGGGGCTACCTGCCTTCCACAGGCACCCCAGTCACCCAAGCTGGCAGCGTGTTCTGTTCTCCCCCCCTTGATGGCTATGGGGTTCTGCCTTGAGGCTGCTGCCCTACAAACCACCCGCGGGGAGAGCGCGCCACAGAACCCGCCCGAGGAGCACCAGCCTGGAGACATTTTCCAATGACACTTGGTACCTGGGCACAAAGATGGAGTTGTGCAGAAAGTTCTCGAAGACTTTTCGGTACTCGGCCTCCTCCTTCTCGGCCTGCTTCTCGGCCTCGGTTTTGGGGCAGGCGCAACAAGGCCCCTTCTCTCCGCCACACACCTCGGTCTTGGGATTCTCCGTCACCTCTTCCACGTCGATGGTGCCGTCGGCATACTTCCTGATGGGGATTTTGTCTGCTCGGGAAAGAGAAGCCCGGCAAGCGCGGACACGAAAGCCAGGTCAGACGGGCTGGGGAGCCGAAGGGGCAGCCGTCAGCACGTTTGATCGAGAATGTGGCCGGTTTCCACCGAAGGGCTCCAGCGGTCAGGGGGCTGTGCGTTACGTCGGGGTGTGGCTACGTGTGGACAGCGCGAGTTGGGTTCCGGGTCCCCCCACCGCCCCCCCCCTTACCTTTGGAGCAGTAGTTGTGCCGGTAAAGGTAGCTGTCCTGAGGCTGCCGCTGCCATCTCACGATGTAGTAACTGAGGTTGCCGTTGGGCAGGGAGGGCGGGTTCCACTTCACAATGAGCTGAGAAGAGGAGTTGGACGCGGAAAGAACGTCCAGGGGAATGGAAGGGACTGGAAAGGCGAACAAAGGACGCTTCAGACAATGGAATGAACCCCGAATCCAGGCGTTCAGACACTCGCGGCAAGCCCACAAGAAGCCACGGGTTGGACCGGATAGGGAAATGGCGGTGAATGCGGACCCGTGAAACAAGAAGTGAACCTTGTTTTGAAATCATATTAATTTAAATGCCCACATTTCTATCTACTCTCAGGTCAGCTCTGTGAAAACAAACATGACTGAGCGGCACATGGAGAAAGGTCGGGGCGGGGGCACGCCAGGATTACCAGTGGGTGGCTTAAAAACCTACAGCTAATTCAAACACTGGATTGCTCTCAGTTATTTTACATCTGCCGTTCTCTAAAATCGCCTGACTGCAGCAGTTCCAGCAAGTGGTGAAATGGACTGACTTGGGTTTCATCTGAGACTCTGGAGCTCTGATAAAAATGGCAAGACGCCAAAATGAAAGGGGAAGTGAGAAAGGGCGGGAGTGTGTGTGCACGCAAGTGTGTGCATGGGGTGTGTAAGCGGTGTGGAGGAAAGTCTCTCAGTTTTATAACCACACTTCCATGGGATGGATGAGATAGGACTAGGAAAAGCAGTCCACAAACCCAAACACACACACAGCCCCGACTGCAAGCAATGGACTCTGTTACCAGCCGAGGAATATTCATTTACAGGCAAAGCAAAATAATCTGGCCAAGCTTTATTTTACTACTGCCTCCCGAACCAAAATCCAGAGCTGCCTTATGTATAAAGGGCAAACGCATCCCAGGACCACTGAAATCTTATTTTCCTTGGGTTCACAAGAAAACAATGATTTGGGGGGGTTTTCCAAAGTGCAAGAGACCTCTTTACTGTCTATCACTTAAACAACACAGTCATCCAAGCCACTTTTTTAAAATTTCAAAGGGGCGAAGAGTTTAAGGGTAGATTTTTTTTTTTTAATTTATTTGAGAGAGAGAGAGAATGAGAGACAGAGAGCACAAGAGGGGAGAGGGCCAGAGGGAGAAGCAGGCGGGGAGCCTGATGCGGGACTCGATCCTGGGACCCTGGGATCATGACCTGAGCCGAAGGCAGTTGCTCAACCAACTGAGCCACCCAGGCGCCCTTAAGGGTACTTTAAGGCCCATAATATCACAGACAAGGTTCTGAACACCTGTACGGAGTGATGCTTTAGGGAAAGGTTGTGACTTATGCCAGCTTTCAGGAAAAACATAACCACTGGATGCTCGACCACTTTCAGATTGCCGAAGTCAAGTATTTCAAGAATAAACAGCTCACCCCTAGGAGTTTCAAATCTAAGTGTCACAAAAAAGCAGAGGCAGAGGACCAAGTCTTCCTCTGTCCCTACCACTCGTAAGGACAGGGGCCAAGATGTGGGGAACTGGCCCAATTTGTATTGTGCTTAGTTTTCCATCTTTGGGGAAAGGAAATAGGTTTCTTAAGAATTTGTCATATAATTAGGGGCACCTGGGTGGCTTAGCCAGTTGGGTGGCCAACTCTTGATTTCAGCTCAGGTCATGGTCTTGGGGTCCTGAGGATTGAGCCCCACATCGGGCTCCGTGTTCAGTGGGGAATCTTCTTGAGGATCTTCCCTCTCCCTCTCTCTCTGTGCCTCCCCCCGCTCTCTCTCTCTCTCTAAAGAAAGTGAATGGATTAAAAAAAAAAAAAAAAGAACTTGTCATAATAAGGAAAGATTCTTATTTTTCCTGAGCTGGCTACAATAAATTACTTCCAAACCTAGAAGAATAGTAACTTGTTTTGTTGCCTTTGAGCCTCTGCTACACCACCCCACACCCAGCATCAGAAGCCTGTGCCAGATTTATTTCTATAAACACTTCAGGGTCCATGGCATGACTGTGACCACTTATGGGACCCTTGAGATGGGGGAGGGAAGGGGGAAGCAGGCATTGCGTGAGTCAAAGGTTTTCCCCATCAACACTTTTTCCTCACCGTCTCTGCCATTTAAATTTATTTTGTGCTACCTTATGGGTGTTTTATAAAACAGCAACCATCCAAGGATATTTATCATTGTCTTTAGAAATGATGTGTATTTTCCTGCCTCTAAGCTGGTTTTTATATACTTGGCTAATATACACAAATGTTTGCTTTCATTAGTTCCAGATTCTGGAGTTGAGAAAAATGAGGTGGTTTAGGAAATGAAGACAGAGACAGAAGGAAGAACATTTTCACCAGCGAATATCTGGAATGTCCACAGCATACTCTGTCTGACGCTTTCCAAATTCTGTCTACCTCTTTGGAACCCTTGCCTCTACAGAATGAAGATGGAAAACCCATGAGCCACATGAGGTAACTGGAACACCAAATCAGCATATGTTCAGTTCCTGGAGATTCAACTATGAAAATAAAATAGGGGGCTGGGTCCTGGCTGGGTCCTCCAAACAAACCGCCCCAGCCCCCTTGGAGGACCTGGGCTTATTGGCACAGAGTAGGCAGATGATGGAAGATGGGCCGTAAAGATGGCCCAGAAGAGCCTAGGGTATTGTGACTGGGAAAAAAATGACATGATACAGCATTATATATTGATAAGAAAGACATATAAAACACAGACTGGTCCAGGATCGAGACATCTCGTAATAAGCATGGTGAGCTCACAAAAAATACGGGATGGGCGGTGTGTGGATACCTGAAGCATTGGTGCGAATGTACAAGATTTCACTTTTGGCCCCACGGATGTGGTCGTTCTCCACCATGGTGAGGGTCACCGCCTTGACATACACAGCATACTGCGTCCAGGGCTTCAGTCCGTGCAGCAGAATGCCAGGCTCGACGTCTTTGTTGGGAGGGAGGTCCACATCCACCATGTTCCAGCTGTTGGAGCCGCAGGCATCCTGTCCATCATACTCCGTGACATTTTTAAAAGGTCTAGAAAGACAGTGGATGAAGCTCAGAGGAAGGTTGTTTCCGACATCAAAGCTCCCGGAAATCTTCCCTAGAGGCTTAGCATGTCACACTTTCTATAATGGGAATTCTAAATAAAACAAACAGTCCGTTGGATTTGTACAGAAGAATAAAATGAAGCAACGGGACCGCAGGTTTTACCACATTTACAAAATGCACTATAGAACTGCATACTCTGCCTCCGGAAGAGTAAATTCTAATTGTTACTGGGATTGAAAACACTGCTCCTTAAGCATGCAGGCAAAGGCTATTTTTCTCTCTTCCAATTGTGGCATTTTTCACCATTAAGAAAAAAAAAACAAGCCTAATCATTTCATGCAAACATCAGCTACTGATGAAGAAACAAACTTTTGGGGGAAAAGGACCTTTGCTACAGAAAAACAGCTTCTACAGTAGAGTTTCCAAAATCTCATTTGCTCGCAAACAACTGTGATTGCTTAAGTATCTTATAATACTCAAATATTTAGCTTCCAGATTGTCTCCAATACTAGCATCAACTCCTTGGTGAGATTACCAGCCGACATTGCCAAAGCACTGGGGGAATCTATCAAAGAGAAGAGAGTATTTTGCACACATGCGTGGGCGGGTAGGGATTCTCCAGCTAGCAGATGAAAGGGCTGGACAGCCCCTGGCCACTGGCTTCTGAAACAGATGTTAACCTACCCTGTCCTCATGACGGAAGACCATGAATGACTCCTATCCATAAATACACTGAACGCCTAATGATCCCAAGACCCCCTTTTTTTCACGGCTACGACCCCGGGGAAAGGGGACCAGATACTGTCATTGGTGGCTCTGGCTCCAACTCTGAGGAAGCCAGTCATCGGGGGTGGAGACCTATAGCATCACAGTGGGAGCTGGATAAGAAGGGTAACTAAGGAAGCTGGTGGAACCACCTGGACGAGGAGGCAAAGAAAGGAAGAGGGAGACCAAAGGAGTTGCTATCTGGAGGAATAAGTCATGGCTGCTGAGGCAGGTGAATATGACCGGAAGGCACAAGAAAAGCCCCCAGCAGATTTGGGGAGAAATAATGAAAGGTTTGGAACATGAAGCTCAGTCTCTCTACATTTTCCTTCCCTAGTTCATGACCTAGAGCTGAGGACCAGGTCTTGGGAAGGGCTCATGGAATAAGATGATAGATCTGTCTGGGGGTCACCTCCAGGGGAGCTGAGCATCCTGCGGGGTGTTCCTAGAGTACGGGTTACAGGGCACATCCTCTATCCCACTTTATGAATGTTGGGACTTAACCCACAGCCCCGCCCACAGGACACCACAGAAACTCACGCTTCCTTGTAGTAGACAGTGAAGCTGATGAGGTCCCTGTAGTCAGGGGGCCGGTAACGGTGCCACGTTATGATGATGCGATTCTTCCACGTGGTTGTAGAGGTGAAATGCAGGACGTCACTTTCACCTGGGGCACAAAGGTATATCTGTGAGTGACAGAGATCAATGTCCATTTCCTCCACGTGTCTGACAAGTCACCTGCCCTGCCCTATTTCCCTCTTCTCCAAAGATGGTTGTACACGCCAAGCCCCTTCCTGGACTTCTCCGTGGCTCTCTTATTTCTACTAAGAGCCCAGACATTTTACCACAAGGAGCTGCAACGAAGCTTGTTCCTTTGTTTTAGCGCACCTGGTTGCACTTGGACCCGAATCTGTGATTCCTAACCTGACAGGGAAGAACTGCTTGATTGAGCAAGGCACCTGGTCTTTCTGCTGATCCCTAAGACCTGGGCTCCCAAGGGGACCAGGGAAGGTGAAGATAAACCCCTAAGCTGGGCTGAATCTTCTGCGATAGGTTGGCACCTGTCCTGCAGTTGCGGATCTCCGCCTGCTGCAACCAGCAAAGAGAGGCGAATGGCCCAGGTGTGCCACAGGGGGGCACGTTTCTGCCTCTAAACTTGGCATTGACCTGGAAGGACACGGGTACTCCTGGAAGGCCTCTGACTGGGGATGACACACTGACAAGAACAGTGTGACTGGCCAAGCCTCCTGGGCACTATGGGAAGTCGCTGAGGGCTACAGCAGGGACCCTGCTCTGAGCTCTGACTTGTTCCTCCGGCCAGATTCAAACGACCCTGAGAACCAGGGTGGAGTTGCTGACTGCTTCCCCCACAGAGACCCGAAGCTCCCCCACGGACTGTCTTGCCCGTTTCTATTTGCCTGAACCCCGACCCATAGACAGCGGGTGAAGCAGTGGCTGATTCAAAGTTTACTGCTTAAAGTTTACTTTAACCGGCTAAAGGCAGTTAAAAGTAAGAAGTCAGTGGGGCAAAATGTGCCAGATCAGAGGTTAGAACAAAGTTGCAGTTCCTGCTAATGTGTTATTTAAGGAGAAACCATGATTTTGTTTTCAAAGGAAAATGAATGGCTTCTGTATTCACAATGTGACCACTCAGACTGGCTGACTTGGAGGACAAAACACCTGGAAAATGCTCAGCCACATCTGCTCTGCTATGATTCGAACAGGCAGAATGGTAGGGGCTGCAGTGGGCGGGTGAGGGAGAAGGGGCCGGTTGCCAGCATACCACGTAGCTCTGTGTCAGGCTTCTTCCCTCTAAAAGCTCTTCCAGAGCAATCTGAGTGTCTACCAGGTAAATCCATACACCAGCAAAACTAATCAGTCAAATGCTAATGGTTTCACAAGTCCTCCCCTCCCGTGTGTGTGCGTGTGTGTGTGTGTGTGCGTGTGTATGCATGTGTGCAAATCACCTCTGATCATGTATTACTCTATTTTTTTCCCCTAGTACCCTTCCCTTATTAAAAGCCGATGGCGGAGAGAAAATTTACTTTTATAACCCTATCCAGCCAAACAGAACCACAACATTTTCAAAAGTGGCTTGATATACAGGTTTAGATGAGAGACGTGCTGTTAGATCTCAGATACAAGACCTGAAAGTATATGACCATGGCAAGGTTATAATTATGTGGTTCTCAATTTAAAAAGCAGTATCCGTTCAGGGAGGTAGGCTCTCTCTATCTTTTTCATGTTGGGGTGGGAGCAAGGAGGAGGCCGAGGGAGAGACAGGGAACCCATGGCCACTGTGTTGGGCTTGGAGCTCAGTCCCCTCTGCCCTGAGGCTTCCCCTACACCGCAGGAGACTGAGCCGAGCATGCTCCCCGGCAGTGGAGAGGACCAGCTCTTCCTTGCAAAATCATCTCACTGTCTGCCTATGCCTTAAAAGACATTGAGCCCTGCATTCTGTAAGCACTTCCATAAAATACTCCCTTTGAGCAGAAGCCTATTTACAAATGCTTAGCACACTCCTAGGGATGCTAAGGAACATTGACAAATACGAATCTGTCATGAATCGGCCCCACTACTGACTCTGAAGATACACACACGTATGGGCAAAGTGCTGGTTCAGGAGGCCCCATGTCCCGCCCCCCCCCCACCCCAGTGAGATGAGGAGGGGGCCACCCATGGAGCCGTCATTCTAGATCGGAGGAGGGGCCACAACTTTATTACAGCCGTTGGGTCCACTCACAGGAGGCTCGCTCTCCGTTGTTCCTGGTGTTTATGTCCCCTTTGCTCTGGCGCCCCTTAGTCCCTGTCACTTCCTCCATGCGGTAAATCTCGGAGACGCACAATTTGGGATTGAAAGCAAAGTACATTTTCCCAGCTTTGATGGTCAGGTTGCGGTGGTCCCAGTCCCACAGCTGCTGCAAGTTCTGGTTGTCGAGGACATAGAAGGAGTAGTTCCTAGAAGCACAGAAATCACCGTGAGTGCTCTTGCCCCTTCCCAGTGTCCCCTCCCACCTTCTGGCTACCCCACACCGGCCCTCTTCTGCACGTGGCTCTGGAACACGCTGCCTTTGCCAATGAGAGATTTAGTTATTAACAGTGTGTAAGAGTGGACAGTTACTGTTAACAATAGCAACAACATGATTCAAGGACAACATACTGAAATCGGTAAGACACTAATTAATTTTAGGACCTCCATTACCAACAAATAATGCTTCTCACACCAGAGGATATTACTGGAATCATTCTGTAGAAATGCCTTTGGGTATTTCTCTCAGAGCAGAGTATGTATAATGCACTCGAAGTCAGTCCATGGGAGAAGAGATATGCTCGGCTACTCAACCGGAACGGCTTACATATTTGCTGTAGAGAGTCTGCCATTATCCTTAGGGGTAAATCCCATCCATGCCATCAGCGGTGTATGATGGGTTAGGGGAGAGAATGGGACAGGGAGACAGACTCGGCGGTGGACCAGCCCTGGGCCCGCTCCCTCCTCCAGATTCACCCCATCCTAAAAAGCCTCAACCACAGTCCCTAGAGAAAGTGGGGGAAGAGAAATAGCCTCCCAAGGACAGTCCCCTTGGGCCGCCCATCCGGGCCACAGTGACCCAGTGTCCAACACTAGGTTAGTGTGCGCAAGGCTTGTTTTCGGAGTGCTGGGCCCCACTCCCAGAGTTTCTCGTTAGTAGGGCTGGGTGGACCAAGAATCTGCATTGCTGACCTGCACGCAGGTGATGCCGGCACTGCTGGTACTGGGAGCACACTTGGAGGAGAACTGGTCTAACAGGTGCTGGGCACCAACAGGGGCTGGAGGTCCAAAGCTGACCAAGTGAGATATGGGCCCTGCCCCTAGGGGGGTGGACACAGAAGCAGCTACACCTGCCGACTGAAGGAAAGACGGAAGGACAGCCAGAATCAGCAACAGCTATCTCTGGCTCCCCAGAGGGAAATCCATCCCCCGGGAGGTGGCAGTGTAGACAGCTACAGCTGAGGGGTCTGGAAAAAATCCAGGCTGTATACCTCTTTTTCTAGGGCCCTGGGGAAGCCCAGGTAGGCAGGGCCATGCTGCCCATCCAAGTCCTCCGTGATCAAAGGTCTGCTCCCCATGGACCTTGAATCCTTCCTCTCCCCTTCCGGGTCCCCAGCCTCAGGCTCTTTCTGGAGCTCACTCAAGCACTTTATACAGGACAGAGTCTAGGAATTGGAGCAGCACTCTGAGCTATTGCTAATATCCACTGAACGGTCCAACACACGAACTGCAGAAAGGAAAGGATCCAGCCCTCTTTCCAAAGCCAAGATAGCCTGGACAGAAGTCCAGAGCCCTCCTCTGCCCTGGAGGCTGTGTCCATGGGGCATCTCTCTGCACCTGATGGGGTTCCTCACATATATCATACCAGCACCTCTACCCGCCTGGTCGATCCACAGCCTGAGTCTCATTAAGAAGAAAGCAAAAGTTATGGTTGTAATGCTGCCAAGCAGACTTGTGACACATGCCTGGGAATTCACAAGGGAGTTCAGAGAGGAGGATCCAGGAGTACAAATGTCATTAATGAGCCACGTAGCCATAGGCAGTTCCCTTAGTACTTTCGGTAGCCATCCATCTAATTTACTTGTAGGACTGGGGGTGGGGGCATGAACACACACTCAGAGGACAACAAGGGGTATGAACATCTGAGCTTGTTTTATGAGTCTAAGACTCTAATGCCCGGAAGGAGTCACAGAGCTGAGATGGAATCTGCCCCATCAGCCTGAGCCCAAGCCCTCCACAAGCCCTGGGCCCCGTCCACAGACATGCAGGGGGTGGATGTGGGAACCCTGTCTGCACACAGTTGAATGAGCCAAGTGAGTCCAAAGGCAGCACCTCTGAAACCAAGCTAGCCTCCTCACTGACCTACTTTGAGATCCCTTGACACATTCAAGGCCACCGAAGCAGGTTTGCAAAAACCTGCAAGTTGATAATATATTCCTCTCAGGAAGAGCTCACTCCCTGACACATATATCCACTGGAAAAGGAACCGAAGAGATTGTCCACATGAATCTAGACTCGGGATATGCAACGCAAGGCCATGTACACAGGTGGGAAGCGCTGGGATCTGGCAAGGTGAGACCTGCCATAGCTTGGGGACAGTCGCCACCCACATCTCCTCTTTCCCCCAGTGCCAGGCTGCAGCTGATGCTGGTTGACCTGAGTCTTCAGACAACTGAAGGCGGGGTTTGCAGGTGGGAACAGATGCATCCTATGCAGGCCCATTCTTGTCCACGAATACTTTCAGCTCTGAAGGACTCTGTAGTGCCCGTACGAAGCCCAATGGGTCTGGCTGCTCCCAGGTTCCTCAGCTGGCCCCCAAGGGACAGAACCTCCTTGTTGGTGCAGAAACCTCTAGGCTGGAAGTAAAGGCCCGTTAACCCGGTCAAACCTCTGTCTCAACGCAGGATGAGGCTTCTTTTTAGTAAACTAATTTTGCTGGCAGGGAACAGAAACCACACTGAAAATACCTTCTGAACAAAACATGATTCTCCCCATGGGAGGAAGCATGAATTATAAATCAAGAATTTGACAAATGAATGGCAGGCCCACTGAAATTCTGTGTGTGTGATTAATCACTTTGAAAAGGAAGATTATCCTTTTACAGTAAACACAAACATTTCTTACAACACCGAGAAGGCCTGGAGCCAGGATACCAATATCAATAAAACCCAGGCGTTATGGAGCCTCTGTGAGCGACAGAAAAATAAAAATAAAACCCTCTTCAGAATAATAACCAAGCCATTCATGAGCTGCCTGTCAATATTGCTCTTGCGTTTCCAACCCCAGGCTGGGGCCTGGCTCCCCCCAAATTCCCCTTCCATGATCAGGTGACAATTAAGAGATGGTAAAAGGCAGAGACCTGTCTGCATGTTTTACACACACACACACACACACACACACACCTTTTCATTGTTTCCTAAAGGAAATGACTATATAAGTCAATTACTCAGTAAATGTCATTTCCTAATTGTTCCTAAACTTGCTGCCTTTACATTCAAAGAATATTTAAAAAAATTAAGTTGTTTATTTTTTCTGTAGCTTACACAGATGCCTGGGTTTTATAGATATCGGTATCCTGACTCCCAGCCTTCTTAGTGTGGCAAAATATGTTTGTTTCTGTACTTGGGTGGGCCCCATCTGACAAAATGTAGACCAACAGAGGTGGGTTGGAAGCAGTCGGTCATGTCCCTGAGGATATCTGTATATTATCTGTATTGGTATTCTGAATGCCTAGTGCACACTATACACAGAGGTGTTTAACTGATGGCTCCAGGCTTGGGGTATCTTACCTCTGAATTATCAACAACCACCCACCTCCCCACCTGCTCTGATGAAGGGCAGGAAGGATGTGAAAGCAGAGGAAAGCGAAAGTGCTGGGGATTTGCACAGTGCACAGAAGTCAACCCCGGGGCTAGGGTTTGGAGCATCGCATTTGAGAATCCAAAGATCAGGGTCTGAGCGACATCTCCACCACTTACTAAAGCTACAACACTAGGCAAAGTACTTATTTGGCTTCTCCCAGGGTGGGGGCAATGGGTGTGGAGGCCTGGGAGTCCAGAGGATGGGGTTAGGAAGGGATACTCCCCCCCACTTTCAGCCCTTACTGACAAACTGGGGGAAAAAAATCTGCAAATACACAACTGATTATTCCCTTTTGCTTCTCAGAGGAGAAAGCATGGACTCTTTCCGGCTGTCTCTAGGGGGCATCAGAACCCAGCACACAGGGACTGCCTCCAGCATCCTAGCAATCTGCAACAGATACAGAATTTGGCTTTTTCCACAGATGCTCACACCATATCCAATCTCCTCCAAATCCAGTATTTACACCAACCTTGGGGGTTCAGCAAGGGTGGGGATTTATTTTCAAGTGGCACTGGGTACCAAACAGAATCTCAGAAAATGTTTCTTCTTTAAAGGTTTTCTAAATAGCTTAGTTGAGGTATAATTTACCTACCAAAAACTGTACCCATCCTAAGTATACAGCGCCATGAGCTTCAGTAAATATATGCAGCTGTTCCACCAGCACCATTATGCAGTTTCTGAACATTTCCATGATGTCAAAGTTCCCTCCCTGCCAATGGTGGTCAATCTCTGCACCTACCCCCAGCCCTCGCCAATCGGCTTTCCATCTCTATGGTTTTGCTTTTGCTAGAAACTAATGGAATCATACAATGTGCAGCCTTTTGTGTCTGGCTTTTTTTCACTTAGCTTAACGTTTCTGAGGTTCACTCATGTCGTTAGATTGTCGTCAAATGGTATTCCATTGTACCACATTTCGTTTATCCATTCATCTGCTGATGGATATCTGGATTGTTTCCAGTGGGGGTTTTTTTTGGGGGGGTTAGGGGGCTCTAGTGAATAATACTGTTATGAACATTCACATTCAAGTCTTGTGTGGGCATGTTTTCATTTCTTTTGGGAGGATATTGGGTAGAGCCTGGAATTGCTGAGTCACATGGTTGAGTCTTTATTTTTAAAAGTCCCAGGGAAGTATTAACACCAGCCCTGTTGCAACCTAATCTTAGAGTTGCAGGAAGGTAGAATGAAGTACCAAGTGTTGCAAAGTCAAGTGGCGGGGTCATGAGTATAGAGATGCCTACATGTACCCAAGAATTTCAAGTCTTAGAACCCTACTACCTCCATCTGCTTTTAGGCTTTTTGGGGCAACAATCCTTGGTGGCACCAAAGAATCCGAAATTTTACCTCTTTGTCTGATGCCATAAGAAAATAACGTTTGTCCACCTCAAGGAACTGTCCAGATAACAGAAATATTTTGTTTTCTATTCAAGGGCTTAAAAATCAGTCATTTTATAGAAATCTTATACATGTGTATTACAAAATCCACTTCCTTCTTAAACAGCAGAAAAACCTTGATTTTTCTTAATGTCTAAGGTTATTACTCTAGAAGCACATCACGTACACAGGCTGCGTGACATCCTCAAGGAAACCGGGATGTCTGAGTTCTTACGGACAAACTGATGACTGCCTGATGCCGTCCGGGCCCTGTTCTCCAGCCACCAACTGCCCTGCCGTCTGTTTGGGTGTGATTCTGCCTACATCTTTCACTGCCCTGGAAATCCGATGACAAAATTGGCTCGCTCTGGATATAGACTAGAGCTCTACTCCAGCTACAATGCTTGAATTTCGTGTTCTGGATGTGACTCAGTGGTCTGGGCTGCTCAGGGGACTTGGAGGGAGGTCTCAGTTCCAGTTTGGAAAGCCAAGTGGTCAGATACAGAGGATCCCGGCACTATGGATTCATCTGTTCTCCATCAAAACAAAATGCTATAAAACTCCCATCCTATTGAACCAAATGGAGGCACTTATTTATGTTCTCACTGGCTATAGAAGTTCAAGAAAAATAGTACTTAAAGGCAATAGTGTGACACTTAAATATTTAGGAAAAAAGGCAAAGCACTTTGGGGATTCACATATGAGAAGAAGAAATAACAGGGCATAGCAGTGGTATCCAATCTTGGCTACACACTGAAATTACTTTGAATTTTTGAGAAAAATCATTGATGCCTGGATCCCACCCCCAAACATTGTGACTGAATTGGGAGTGCATCTTGGGTTACTGGGATTTTTTTTTTTTAACCTGGCCCCACCCAAGATGGTTCTAACGTCAAAGTCTGGGAACCACTGGGATAAAAGTTATCTTGGCTTAAACCAAAGACACACAGAAATGAAACTCCTGGGCGCCTGGGTGGCTCAGATGGTTAAGCGTCTGCCTTTGGCTCAGGTCATGATCCCAGGGTCCTGGGATCAAGTCCTGCATCGGGCTCCCTGCTCCTTGGGAGCCTGCTTCTCCCTCTGCCTCTCTCTGTCTCTCATGAATAAATAAATAAAATCTTAAAAAAAAAAGAAACTCCTGCAGCTCAAAAGCCTTGAATACATTCCACTGCCTACCTAAATTATAACCTCCACACCCGGGTGCATAACACCTTACGTAATTCTAATACCACCTACCTCTCCAGCATTATTTGCCAAACAGGTCCCAGGATGCCCCAACTCGCTGCCTTTGTTCTTACTGCCCTATCCTGAACTGCCTTCTTCACCCTCTGCTTTCTGAGTGTTTCTGGAAACCCTTCAAGGCCCATCTCAAATGCCACCTCTTCTTGAAAGCCTGTGGGATCTTCTTAATCAGATTCTCTGCCTCTTTTTCATGCCCATGGCATGTTCCTTTTCTTCTCCTCATAGCTCCTTGCAAGTTCTGCTTTGCACTATTGTTAGCATTTATCTGTTTATCATATTCCTTTCTTCTCTGCCTCCCTCTGACTCTTCCCTCCTTGCAGGAGTGAGGAGAACTGGTCAAGGGCTAGAACTTAGTCTATTTCCTAAGTCTGAGCATGCACAACAAAGAACTGAACTGTTGCTACTTGTCACCCCTAATACAAAGAGCTGTGGGGGCGTTCATCACAAGTGAGGATGGCCTACACCTTTTTTGATCCTGGGTGAGAAAGGCTGGTGAGAGAACCCAACTCCCACCAAGACAGGCAAGATTCTCAAGCACCCTAGCTAAAGAGAGAGCCTCCAAGAAGCAGCATGTAGGAAGGAAAGGCTGGAAGCCCAGTATCCTCAGAGCTACAAGGGCCACTGATCAGCAGCAGGGTGTGAAAACCTAAGGGCCATTTGCCCTCCCTTTTCACCTAAAATGTTAACGGCAGAGCAGAGGCCTGAAGCATACTTGAGCTTGGAGGAGTCCCAAACACCTGAGCAATGGCAGGCATCCTTAAAGAGCCCCCACTGGGACATCAGGTTTTATACAAGTTTCGGATAATGAGAAATGCGCCTTAAATATCCGTGCAAATGAAAATCAGTCTTAGTTCTCAGCTCCATATAAGGGCATAATACTTTCAGTTAACACATGACTAAGAGGTAATCCCAGTGTGTAATAATTCTTAACCAAAATTAAATTCTTGGGGTGCCTGGATGGCTCAGTCTAAGCACTGGATTCTTGGTTTCAGCTCAGGTCATGATCTCAGGGTTGCAAGATCGAGCCCTAATTCGGGATCTGTGCTCCGTGTGGAGTCTGCTGGAGATTCTCTCCCTCCCCCTCTGCTCCTCCCCTGCCCTCTCTTTCTCTCCAATGAATGAATGAATGAATGAATTTTAAAAATCTTTAAAAAATTAAATTCTCCTTCCAGTTTTTCCCTCTATGTCTATCACTTGTTCAACCTGGAGAAAGAAAATGTGTATCATTAAGCAGCAGGAAAAGTGGCAGATCCCAATCTGCCAAAAAAAAAAAAAAAAAAAAAGTGCTTACCAACACAAGGGATTCCAGAAACACAAACCTACCTGGAGAGAAAAAGAAAAAACTGTGCTAAAATTCACTTTAAAATTTAATACAAAAAATGAGAACCACCATCTCAAAATGGTAGAGCCTCAGCTTGCCAAGTTAAGTGACTTATGACACTCTGGGGCTGGGCACGGTGGCAGCCTCCTTGGATTTGCAAGGAGAAAGAAGTTTATTTTTCCTAGAGAATCAGTGTTCTCAGTGGAGAGGACAGTGTGCTTTTCAAGGATGGAATGAGGAGCTGCCCTCTCTCTTTAGCTGTATCAGATGATGGAATTTTAAGAATTTAAGACTGACCAAGAGTTAGTCTGAGAAAAGCAGGGAGGCTGTAAAGAAACCCTTATGGGGGTAACTTTATCCAGTCGGGGCAGATAAATCAGCAAGGACAACCTTTCCCATGACCTTGCCACCTCTTTCTTTCCTACATTATTTCCCCACATTCTTTTTGGAAGGAATTTGCTTGTTAATTGATGTCTCCTTTTATTTCGAAGCTGTATTTAAAGAGAGTATGAAAAGAAAGGTATATATGCAGAGGTACACACAGGCCAACTGCTGGAGAGAAACTATAGCAGTAAGCACCAGCTCTTATCTATCCTGTGGTGAAAAGCCTCTGGTGAGTTTAAAACCCCTATCACAAAGCCTATCTCTGCAGAAAGCAAAAATTCTACCAGTAGTGTAAATCCTATTGGCTCATCAATGAAACAATTTTGTCAATTAGGATTTCTTTATAAAAAATGAACTATCCATACTCCTCTAAATCTCTTATGTTCCAGTATACACTTTACCCCGATAATGTTGGGGTTTGGGTGTGGACACTCCGAACAGTCACCAATTCACACAGAATTGTTGACATCCTCCAAACTTAACTACTAATAGTCTACTGTTGTCAACCAGAAGTCTTATGATAACATAAACAGTTGATTAACACATATTTTGTATGTTATATGCGTGATATACTGCATTCTTACAATGAAGTCAGCTGGAGAAAATATTATTTAAAAAATCATAAGGAAAATACATTTACAGTCCTATACTGTATTTATCCAAACCAAACCAAACCAAACCAAACCAAACTGTGGGGCGCCTGGGTGGCTCAGTTGGTTAAGCGACTGCCTTCGGCTCAGGTCATGATCCTGGAGTCCAGGGATCGAGTCCCACATCGTGCTCCCTGCTGAGCAGGGAGTCTGCTTCTCTCTCTGACCCTCCCCCCTCTCGTGCTCTATCTCATTCTCTCTCTCAAACAAAAAAAAAAATAAACAAAAAACAAAATTGTGTCTAAGTGGACCCACACAATTCAAACCATGTTGTTCAAGGGTCAACTGTTTTTCTTCTTCTCTTGTTTTTTTTTTTTTAAGATTTTATTTATTTACTTATTTGAGAGGGAAGGGGGGTGGTGGGGAGGAGCAGAGGGAGAGAGACAAGCCGACTCTGCATTGAGCACGGAGCCTGACGTGGGGCTCGATCCTATGACCCTGAGATCATGACCTGAGCTGAAATCAAGAGTTGGACACTCAACCGACTGAGCCACCCACGTGCCCCCGTATTTTAAAAGATGGAATGGTTTTACATAGTATATAGAATCCTGGGGATAGGAGTCATGTCACTGATGATTTCACAAAGGGCTAAGCACCTGAGACCCATTCCTGTTGCTCTTGGCACAGAGGGTCCCCACCAGCACCCCAGTCTGCTGTTTCCATGGTCACGGTCGGACACGCAGCCCTTGACTGACAGGTCACAACACAGTTTTCCAGAACAGCACTATCCCAAGGATGGAGAATCATGGCCACACGGGACTCTGCCTGAGGGGGTGGGCCATCACGCAGGTGGCGCCGGGCTTACCTTTGCTTCCTCCTTTCTTTGTTGTAACAAGAAAGAGTCCTTGCCTCAGTGACATGAAGTTTTAAAAAAGCACGCTACTTATTTTGTAATAGGAGAATGTCAGCCCACGAAATCTGGAGCACTTACCCTTCTAGCTGCTCCTCTCCTAAGATCTGGCGAAGGTTTTTTAGGAAGGACAAGGAGACCAAGGCATGGGAATGGCGGATCTTCACGTAGCCTGTCACCACCTCGATGAGCCCCATGAAGTTCTCCAGTTCTGAGGCAATGTTATCTGCGTGAGGAGGGGGCTGTGTTAGTGAGCGTTCGCGTAATGTGAGGATGACTTGGCTTCTCGCAAACACGTCTGGAGATCGATTCCATGGCGGGTCTTGGTGCAGGACCTGCCATCCCTGTCAAAAATGTACTACCCTGGGCTTGACTTTCAACAACCTCTCCCGAGGCAGGGCGCCTCAGGGGCCAGGGAAGGAGACTTTCTAGAAGGCTGGGTACTGTAGCTCCCAGGCTGATTAACCGAATGTAAAATCATAAATACCAGACTGCCAATTAGCTAAGGCTGACAAATCTAGGGAACGTCTTTTAATACGCTCTGTCAACGGACAGCACTGTGTCCACGGTACAAGGGCATGACTAAATAAACACCATTTTCTCGGTCTCATTAGGAACTGCCTTTGCTGCAGTTCCAGTTCCTAAGATACAGGGATCTATATTTAAAGAGTACGTCTTACCAAGACTGGGAGAAAACACACCAAAATGTTAACACCCCAGGTTATCTGCTCTGCTGGTGATTTTTCAAAATTCGTTTCCGTGCTTCTAAGTTTCCTACAATGCACAGGTATGATTTTCGTAACGAGAGGACAGTTGGAAAAATAGTTGCTACTACTATGTAAGTGAAAACAACGTAATACACACACACTGTCTTTCTCATCATCCTGTTTAGCCTGCCTTTTCCTCATAGTAAAAAAGAACATAAACTTCAGTTCAACTTATGCCAAAATTACAATAAATACTATAATGAATTGGGTATAGTCCAACTAATGGGATTTTATTGCATATGATTTGTTGAAGGCTTATTTAATGAGAGGTTCTATTTTGCTTTGAATTGATAAAAATAAAAGAATGAGGATGCTGTCTTGGAGGGCTGGGGACTATGCTTACTGTAGAGTTTAATGGTTTTCTAGGAGAAATTCAAGTTATAAACACCAGAAGTTGCCTGTGGTTGATATTTCAAGGAAAAGATTCTGAATTTTAAATGCGGGCAGGATGGATGCCTGTTAGTCGAGGCTGAGTATGTCCTTTTCAATGAGATGTCTTATCACCCTACATCCAGCTGATTTCTCCCACTGGTCTTAAACAAGAAGGCACGTTTCATCACCACGCATGAATATGTACCGATTCCTTCTCAAATTCTACTTCTCCATGGATTTAATTCATGGATTAAATGCTTATCTTCAGGATATGAAAATTTTAAGAAAAAGAAGGGTTAGGTACTTAAAAGGTATGTTCTAGGGGATGAGGGCATCTTTTCAAAAATTAAGAACTCTAGTAAGAGCAAAAGGAATAAAACTTCATTCTTTATTCTTTTTCTTTTTTTTTTTTTAAGTAAGCTCCATGCCCAGCATGGAGCTGAACGCCAGGCTCAAACTCATGAACCTGAGATCAAGACCTGAGCTGAGATCGAGAGTCAGACGCTTAACCCGCTGAGCCACCCAGGTGCCCCAGGAATAAAACTGTAGAAGCACCATGGGGGTAAGAGAATTCTAGCTGTATGAAAGCAAAGTTATCGGGGCAGCTGGGTGGCTCAGTCGTTAAGCGTCTGCCTTGGGCTCAGGTCATGATCCCAGGGTCCTGGGATCGAGCCCCGCATCGGGCTCCCCGCTCGGCGGGAAGCCTGCTTCTCCCTCTCCCACACCCCAGCTTGTGTTCCTGCTCTCGCTAACTCTCTCTCTGTGTCAAAGAAATAAATAAAATCTTAAAAAAGAAAGAAAAGCAAAGTTATCTCTGTGGTGGAGGGGCGAAAGCAGTTCTGGAAAATGAGGAGTACCTAAAGATCCAAGAGGACTGAACACAAACATGTTTCTGCCATCTCTAAACCATAAGAGCATGGCTCACTCACCAAACAAACAGTATTAAGGAAAAGTAAATCCACAGAATAAATAAATTAGTCACCCCCCCCCCCCGCCCCCCCACTGCCAACCTGCAAAAATCTCTCCACAAAAGGATTTAGGGGAAAAAAATCCTTTCAACCTCAAGGTCTTCTTACTATTTTTATTCTAGGTTATGAAACTATCATAGGTACCTTGACCGAGTGGTCCCAGTGGTGGAGAATTTAAGGCTAGAAGCCATTGTCAGTTAAAGCTCAGAAGTGAAAATATCACAGAATAAGTCCATGAGTAATGCTTTTGCACACACGCAATTACCAGGAACACCATCTACTACAAATGATGCTGATCCTACTGGGGTGAGGATCGAAGTTTTAAATACGTGATGACACACACTAGTTTTCTTTTTGCTTTCCAAAGAAAATTTGGAGATTAACCACTCTTTGGACTTAATAAAGTATTAAAAGGGTATCATTAAACTGTTCCCTTTGCACAGTCTCCTCGGTACCTCCTGAGTAACCAAAACTCTTTGGACTTGAAGCTCTGTGGCCCTGGCTCCAGCTGGAGGCTGCTGAGTCACACCTTTGATCCACCAGCGTCTTCTGGGGATTGTGTGTGTTGGGACGTGCATCTCCTGCGTAAGACAGGACTAACAGAAACATGAGTGATGACCCAGGGCGTGAATAAATGCCGAGCCAATGGCTGCAAAATAGACTGCCTTTCAATCTGGGGTGTGTGTGTGTGTGTGTGTGTGTGTGTGTGTGTGTTTTTCTTTAATCTTTGAGGGAAACTCAAAAAAGAGGTGTTGAGCATGAGGCTTATGCCCCATGTTGTTTTTCTAGGCCCAGGCTTCAGTTGTGAGTCATGGATGGGAAGGAAAAGCGTCAACAAAAGAAAACCAAGAGATCCAGCCCTCTCTTCCAGGAGGACGGAATACTTACTGCCTCGGCGGATATTAATGAGCAAATTGCCCTTGAAGATGGTGCATCCTTGGAGCATTTGAGCAGAGGTAACAGAATCAATGGTCTTTGTTTTCTTTTCTTCCTCACAGACCTTGGGGCAAGGACCTTCACAAGGGATGCAGTACATGCTGTTGAAGATAAAGAATCAACCAAAAACACAGAGAACTGAGTCAGGCTCCTTGCATTAAAAAAAAAAAAAAAAAGAAGAAGAAGAAGAAGAAAGAAAAAAAAAGTCACGAAGACACGCTTTTATTCTAAGTTGTTTTTGCAGTACACATTACCAAAAGCAACTGTTTTGAAGCACTCGAGTGGGCACACCATATCTCATCCCGAAGCCACCCAGGATCAGCCATTCGAATTGCAACCAAAAGAAGAAAGTGCCTACAAAGGAAAAGCATGCCTCTTGTTTCCAGACAAAATATGTGATGCATCCTTGAGGCATGTGTGTATCAGAGGCTGTCGGCTGGGGAGCCAGCTGGTTCCATGTGGGAGAAACAGCCTTGAAGGAAGGACACAGTGGTGGCTCCCGAGGAAAATGGGGCTGCTCTCTAGTGTTGTGGCCCTTGCCCGGCACACACCGGGGGGGGGGGGGGGCAGCTGGGAGACTGGACGGGAACAGCAAAGGGACAGCGGGGTCTCTGCCACTAACAGGAGTCTTGCTCTCACTGCCCGCATCCCAGCAAAACCCAGCAAGGAATTCCAAAGTGCATGTGGAATAACACAGATCCATTATTTTCTTGCTAACGTACAACCGAAATTATTTGACAGTGTTTTGCAGAAACTTGTAAATTGATTGAAATGTTGTTTTCGTTGCATATGTGCTGAAAGCAAGGAACTTCCATGACTTTGTAATGAACTCCTGTTTCAAATGCTATATCCCAAACGAGCTGCAGGACCACCAGGAATCAGGGGTCAGTGAGACTGGCACTTCTCCTACTTACCTACGACTATTAATTTAAGAAGTCGTGGACAAAACGCTAATCTGGCTGCCAGACCACAGACCAAGGATCAAAGTTGGGTTGATTTCCAAACAAATGATACCGCCTGTGTCATGTGTGTGTGTTACAAACAGGACGGTGAATTGGCGAGCCAGCTGTATTGACATTATTGTTCTTGAATGATCTTTTAAACTTCATTAAGGTAAGTAAAAAACATTCAAGTAAACAGTGTAAGTGATAGCTTACGTGAAAGTTTGTTTTTTTTTTAATGAAACCTTACTGCCTATCTAAGGCAAAGATGCAGGGATTTGTTTTGTTTACAAACTTACAGGTAGACAGAATTTTCCTGCTATTTTCCTATTTCGTGTGGGGAGAATGACAGGGAAGGTTCCCCAAGGAACTGGGCCAACCACAGAAGGGAAGATTTCTCTTTCCTGTAACATCATACTCAACCTTCTTATTGCCACTATGGGTAATAGCTTCTCTTCAGCACTTTTTGGTTTTGTTTTTTATTCTAATTTATTTACACACCATTTAATGCCTCCACCCTCCTTTAAAAAACTTTTTATCCTGAAATAGATTCACAGAAAGTTACAAAGAGTACTTTTCCCCTGTACCCTTCCCCTAGCTTCCCCTAATGGTGACATCTTATATAACTATAATGGAATATCAAACCCAGGAAATTAACACTGGTACAATATATGCGTAATTCTGTGTCACCTTATATCTCTTATGTGATCCTCACGCAGTCAAGATACAGAAGTACTTGAGGAAGATCTCCTGTAGAGCCACCCCCAATCCTCATATCCCTAACTGGGTCCTGGCAATCACTAATCTATATCCCATCACTGCAATTTTGTCATTTTGAGACTGTTACATAAATGGAGTTCCATAGTATGTGACCTTTTGAGGTCGACTTTTTTGTTTTGTTTTGTTTTCCCCCACACAGCATAATGTCCTTGAGATCTATCCCAAGCTGTTGTGTATTTCAACAGTCTGCTCTTCTTTATGGCTGAATAATAGTCCACAGTATGGATGTACCACAGTCTGTTTAACCATTTACCTACTGTAGAACATCTGAGTTGTTTTTTTGGCTATTACAAATGGAGCTGCTGTGAACAACTGTGTATGTGTTGTTACGTGGACATATATTTTCATTTCTCTGGGAGGAGTGTCCACGAGTATGACTTCTAGGTCATAACGTTAAGTGTATGTTTAGCTTTCCCTGACGTTTTATTCAAATAGCAATTTCTGAACCAAACACCTTTACTAAAATGTCTAGGAATCATCTAGCACTTTAAAAAAAATGTTTTTCTAAGGAAGTGCTCTGATTACATCTTTATAGATTAAGCTTCCTTGAATCCGTTCGGGTACAGAGAGGGTATAAACAGTATTAATAAATATTTTAAACTCAGTGCCAAATAGGTCTTAAAGGTTGAGAGTGGTATTTATTCTTTCTTGACGGTGTTTTATTTTAAAATAGAAGAGGTATATCTGTAGCTTTGAACAGACTGTGAGAACTGGTAGGGAAAAAAAACAGCTCAGTTCTTTGAAAATGCAGTGCAGTGGGAGAAACAACACCGCTGAAATGCATAGCACTCCCCTCCCACTGGTCCACTATATCACAGGACAATGTATCCCCAGGACAAAGATGGTACTACCCCCGGTTCATGCACCAGCTGTCCCATCTCTCCTCCCACCCCCAGGAGAAACCGTGGCTGAGCCTCATCTGGGTTCTAGGCTTGGCCCAGGGTACTGCGAAAGCCCTCCTAAGTCCAAAGGCTACCAATAAACTGTGAGTAAAATGTGGTAGACTTATTCTGGGTGGAATATGTATACTTTACAGTTCACTGGGAGTCCTTGGCATACTTACCTTTTAAAAAGTATTCGGGATAATTTTTATTATTATAATAGTAAAGACATTATAACAGGTGGAAAGTTGTTCTGTATCTAATATTATGAAAGAATGTGAGTTTTATCTTTGGTTTGAAGATGAAGGAAGCATTTGGCCCACTGCCACTAAACTGTTCTTTCCTAAGAGTTCTCTGCTCTACCTAGAGGAGGGACGAACTACCCCAAGCCTCTGGTCTTTTGCTTCCAGGGCTATAGTTCTTTATTTTATAACAATGCCACTATTGCTTTCTCAAAAACATAAACCAACAAAAAATTTACAGAAGCCTAGCCGACATATACCAGAGGGATGCTTTTTGCTGTAGAGAATCTCTTTGCTTCCCAAGTGAAGTCTCAGCGTTCAGGAAAGAAAATGAGAGAGACAGAGGAAATTGAGAGAAGGAGGTATGGAGGAAGAGAGAGAGAGGAACAGGTGCTGATGGAAAACACAGGTTACTTTAAGCTCCTGGTTACTCTTTGTGTCAGCTAGCGAGGGCACAGGATGGATGTGTGCTAACAGACTTTTGGGTCTGCTGGCTGTGTCAAGGACGCTGTCCGGGGCTCGGCTTGTCTTCTGTCCTGCACTCCCCAAGACTTCACAGAGCTGTTGCTGAGTGGCACCAGGGATGGGACAACCTAAATGTACAGTCCTCCCAGGTCTACCCCACACCTGCTTGACAGGCAGCCTGGGAAGTGCAGGGAGGGGAGACTGTGACCTCCAGGTACCTAGGCCAGCAAGCCAGGCACTTAATTCCAAATGGCCAGGCAGTACGCTTCCAAAACACAACATAAAACAAACTGATTTTTTTTTTGCCGGGGGCAGTTGTTCCTCTGTAGAATCTCATATAAAATGTCAGTTATGCCAACCCTCTGGAGTGGACCCATGGCCCTTAACCTCCCCGGGCCGTCCAGACGGAATGAGGGCAGCGCCAACCTCGCCATTCCTTGGTGGGCCGGGGTGGCGGTGCTGCACGACTGACCTCTGACTGCCGTTCCGGATGAACCCCGAGGGGCACTCCTGCATGCACTCGCCGTCGTGGATCACAAACCCCTCGGAGTCGCTGCTCTCGGCGCTGGGTATGTTGGCGCAGAAGTCGCGGTCCACGCAACGCCAGCCCTCGAAGCGGTAGGTGTTGGGCGGGCAGGTGGGCACGCAGACGCCGGCATAGTAGTAATGCCTGCACGCCACGCAGGCCGTGTCGTTGTCGGGCGCACTGCAGCTGCCCAGACACTCGGGGTGACAGCACTCGTTGTTCTCGGTGCACGCCCGCTTCCCGCACGCGCTCGGGCACACTGTGGAGGGGGAGGGGACAGCGGGTGAGACTGTGGTGTGGGGGGGCGGGGGTTGGACGGCCTCCTCTGGGCCCCGCCTGCTTTGTCCCGGGTCACCGGCCACCCCAGACCAGATGATCGCCCCAGGGACAGACAACTGCCCCCCCCCCCCCCGAAATCCCCAGACGGAGCATCACGGGGATCTGCAGCCCGCCGCAGGCTCGCAAGGGCAGTACTACAGACCACAGTCACAGTTTCATGAAGGCGGGGAGAAAATACTCTGCGTTTCCAGTCCAGCCTCTCCTATTTACTCCCTGTGTGCTCCTGATGACTCATTAGCTTCTCTGACCTTGACCGTCTCTTTTCACATCTATAAAATGGGGGTAGTAATATCCACGCTAGCGGTTTGCCGGAGGCCAACATGATAATGCAGTAGCCCTATGGGAACAATTCGGTGTATTATTCCTTTTAAAAGCATTATGTGCTGTTCCTTCTGCATTTTGAATGTGTTCCTTGAAATACCCTGAAAAGCCTTAGTGTGCAGAAATGATTATTTAAAAAATTATCTTATCATATATGTTATTACAAGTATTTTAAAATCATTCAAAAAGCCGTTTACTTTAAAAATGATGAAACTGGAATATAGTAGAGATGATACTATTCGGGTTCACAAAAGGGCTTTAGAAAAAGCTTGTGTCTGCTTGTAGACCAAAGGTCTTACTCCAAAAAATGATGGTATTAACTTATTCACAGAACCTAACCTATTATATAACCAACAAGGCCCTGCATCTGATTGTCATTCTCAAATACAAAAAACAAAAAAACAAAGGGTGGTGGGCAGTGTCTCTGAGCCCAGAGGACTCATAGCATATTAGAAACCATCTCCTTTGAGCCACTCTGCTAAACTTAAGTGAAAGAAGTATCTAAAAAGCAGAGCTCCACAATTCATGTCCCAAGTAGATGAGCTGGCATTTTATTTCCATAACAACGATGTAATGATCACACTCTGTGGGGCTGTTAGCCTCACTAGCAAATAAAGTATAAATCAACAAAACACGAAATCTGGTTTGCATTATATGTTTTCTACTTTTTCTGAAACAACACAAAATTATTTAAATATATTATTGACTCTGACATACATTATTTAGTGAAAATCCTATTATTGTTTTTCCTTATAAACAAAATGTGCTCAAAAAAACATCAGAGATCACAGATAAGAAATGAAAATATATAGGACGTCTAGCCCATCTGCCCCAAATACCTCCTTTATCAATACCTTCATGTGGATCCCCCCAGGTCCTTTTCTATGCATGTGCATATACATATAAATATCTACAAAAAAGGAACAAGCCATCCTGAAACCATTTCTGGCATAATATACTATGAATTCCATAATCACTTAAGAGCTGCACTGCACCTCACAGTATAGTGTAAGTTATAACCTGTCTCCTACTATGAGACATTTTGTTTACTCCTAACATTTTATTATTACAATGAACACTGCACTTTTCATGAGAATCCTTAATTATTTCCTGAGGATCAATTTCCAGGATTGACCTCGCCAGATCAAACTATCCTCTGGAAAGTTTTTACCAATTTACACTCCACAAACTGCATCCAAGAGTTCCTACTTTACTGCAAAAAGGTGAATTTCAGAACTTGGACATTCAAATGAACACTGTCACCTCTGAAGAAAACAGATAAGTTCTCATGATACTGTCAAGCTTCTTAAAATAATTTTGCAAGTTTCACCTTTGAAATTATCCTTTGGCAGAGACCACAGGTTGCCTTCCATTATTTATTCTTTTTATCTATTTTGGTAATAGAACCTTGATTTTTAATTGGGCATTTGGCCACCGGGCTAGATATTATATCTCTTAGCCTCTCTTGTAGCTAGAAGTGACAGATGTCCCAGCCAGTGAGATATAAGAAAACTTTTTCGGCTGGTACTTACTGGAAGATTCCTTAAAAGAGAGTGAGCATGCCCTTCCTCCTTGCCGGCTGGAACGCAGGAGCAATGCATCAAGCTCAAGCAGTCATCTTGGACATGAGGTAGCCCACTAAGAAGGTGAAGTAAGGTAAAAGGATCTTGGTCCCCCAAAAGGCTAACCCTGTACTGCTTACCTCTAGACTTGGCTATACGAGAGAGAAATAAACTTTTATCTTATTTATGTGCCTGCTATTCGTTAGACCCAACTGGAAAAATCCTGAGACACACCTTCAGAGCTACTTATAAGCAAAGAAGAAAACCATTCCTGTTGGTTTATATCACTTTTGTTTACCGGAATTGCCTCAATGACTTCTGGCTATTTCCAAAAACTAAGCTACCCCAAAAATAACAAGGAGTAAATATCTCTAAGCACACCAAAGAAGTATGTTATAGATAGGAGTTGCAAAAATGTGGTGATACATATGTTGTCCACCAAGGTGATCATCTTGAGGAGGGTAACGCTAATTTGAATTTACAAGCCTAGCGTTATTTGTAGTAAACATACATAGACACACACACACACACGAGTGCGTGCGCTTTCTCTACCATCAGATCTCATACGTGAAGACATCTAATATTATCAAATAGATTCAATGACTACTTAATTTCAAATATACCCATTATGGAGGTTAACTTCAAGGCTCAAGATCTAAAGAAACAAATAAATTGTGTATCTTTTAGTTCAGGTTTTTAAAGTAGTAACGGGAACATAAGTCCATTTACCCTTTCGTTGTCGATGCATTTCGCAAGTTTATTTAGCAACATGCCACACCTGTGTGCTAGACCCTGCCCTCAAGGAATGGGCAATATGCCAGATAAGTACAGGCTTGAGTGGAGGTTCACGGCATGCCCTGGGCATCAGGGACGGTTTGGAAGAGATGCTGAGGCTGGAGCTGAAAGATGAAAGATGAGGGGGATAAGAATAAAGAATAACACAGAGGAAATCACACGTAAATGTGTGTAAAGGCAATCCAGTCTCTGTGGTGGGAGAACTGGGTGCCCGTGAAGATAGCCAGAGGCTAGTCGCCAACTGGTGGGTGATGGGCATCACTGAAGATTTTCAGCAGGGGAGGAGCAACACGGTCAGATTTTCATATTGGAAAGGTCATCGGCAGCAGCCCAGAGGGTACCACGACCAGAGGGGGCCGAGCTGACAGAAGAGGGATCAAGTGAGGGGAGAGAAGAGACACAGCCTTGTTATGTTGCCCCTACGAGGTTTCTGTAATATAATAGACCCCTGGGTTCATGTGGTTAACATGAAACTGGCTGAAGAACCCCGTGTTCAGAGTCTCGAGTGTTAGCAGGAACCAGCTGCGCTGAGCGCACACCCCACTCGGAGCACTGAAGTCCCCGGCCATCAGCCACCACCATGCTTTGTGATTGGAGGAAGGGAAAATTGATGAAGAATGTCACGATCATCAACAGAGACTAATGGGGGACAATATCTGCTTGCCAAGCCCCCTTTCCCTCACTTATAATTTAAATAACATGCTATATAAAATCATTAGCGGCAGGCATTAATATTAAATAGTACTAAAAACCCTACAGCATTTGAAAGAATAGAAAAAAATATCTCTGTGCACTCGCTGGGAATCAGCTATACCCACGTGAAATGTTGGGCATCTCCACCAGGAGAAAGAAAAAAGAAATCCCCCAAACCTGACAAAGTATCTGCAGATGTATTTTGCATTCCATTCCCCATTCTGATGGAAACAGCATCTCTGGGCAGTGGTCCCCCGAGACCCTTCAAAGGCATGTGTTACGTGGAAATGCACGGTCAGTCAGTTCTTGCCACAAGCAGCATGCAGGCTGGGGAATTAGGGTTTTGTTTTGGCAAGGAGAGCTCCTTCAGAAAGAATTTCAGCAAAGCTTAAATTAGGTAAAATCATGTTATTTATAAGCAGAACAATTCCTCTTACAGGGATCACAAATCAAGGGGTTCCTTTATGGTACGTGATCCAGACTGCCCGACACCTATCAACTACCCGAGGGGAATAAGAATGGGGTGTGATGGGAGGTGGGGAGAAAGGAGAGGTGACTTGTTTGCTAGAGGACAAACTCTGTAAATAAGACACTGCTCCAGGGGCAGAAGCTGGTGTTCCCCTGGCCAGAGCAGAACCCGAGGATTCTGGGAGGCAGGAGAACATGCGGGAAATTCAGGATTAGAGAGTCCTGGAGTCAGCCCCAGAAGCCTGCTGTAAATTTTGTCTCATCTCAATGTATATAAATATTATTAGTGTTTAGGACTATTAAGGGATTTCTCGAAAAGCCCCGGGCAGTATGTCTTGCCAGCAGATGGATGGCTTCTCCATACAAACGCCAGAACTTAAAATTTAGTACAGTTACCAAATTTCCAATTACAGAGCTATGGGAGAAAGGAAGGGGACCTCGTTCCTGGCTTCAGTGAAGAAGGAGCACACCTAACGTGATTAAAGGCATTTCTGCTTTTCAAAATAAAAGAAAAATGGAAGCTGCTATAAACTACAAATATACAGGGGGAAAAGCAAATTTATTTTGCCCACGAGATCCTTCTACTCATTGGAATTCTTAGAATGACCAACAATAAAAACCAAAGCCGATCTAAATTGTTGGAAAAGCTAACGGCATGTCCCACGTCTACCACTAAAAGGATTGATTTGGGGGTCACAGTCACATAAAAATGAGGCGCTGCATATAAAAACTCATTCTCTTCATTTTGGGGGGATAGGAAATAAGTCACACATCAGCCTTACTCCCTCCCCCTCCCCAGTGTCCTTATATTCACTAACTTCTAAGTTTTTTTTTAAACATTTATTTTTATTCTTGCCAGGGAGTTCCTTAACAATCTTTACTCAAGAGCAACCATTTTTAAAAGCATATGATTATAAAGTGTTCCGTTGGAAGAGAAGGTGGAGAACTCAGCCTCTTCTCGAGGAACAAAAAATGGAAAGGGGGCCACTTGAGTCACAATTTTATCCCAACTAATTTCCAAAGAACAGAAATAAGTTCATGGACGTTTGAATGAGGTCAAGCTTCTAACTCAAAACACAGG